CCCCCCCCCCCCCCAACAACTATTTTGACTGCATGACGAGAAACACATTCACAAATTTCCTGTTTGATTTAAATGCAATGAACGAAATGTTCAATGCATGTGGCTTAAAATATAATTATAAAGACACTGGACATGTCTGTATTTATTCTATTTATTTTGATAACTGTGTTTGTCTATGTTACTGATCATGTTTGACATAGATGGTATCCACTCCATAACTACCAAGCTGTTTTTTTTTTTTTTTTTTAGTTTGCTGAGTGGCTTTTTTTTGCTAAAAGGTCATTTAGTGTTTAGTTTAACAATTATAATGATGGGAGTATTTTTACAAAAGTTCAGGGTTTTTTTACATGTATTTATGTCTTTTATTGCCAAACCATATTTTTGTTTTACTTCAAATTTGCTTAGTACGTAGTTTTGTGTGGTTAAAAGGTGACTGCCTTTTGAAAATCAGGATGATAGATGGTAGAATTTACAAAAGTTACATAATGTTACATATATAATTTTATATGCATAAGTTACATAATGTGCATTTTTGCAAACATGTCATTAAGTGTTCAATAGTGGGCAAGGCAATCCTGTCACAATTATAACTTCTTAAGTTCACAGTGGTGAGTGTAAGATTTTCTTGAGAAAAACCCATATTTAATTAGTTTTCCTGGTGTAAAGTTTTTTTTTTTAATTGACTAACCAGTCTTTGATCTTGACTCTCCCCATACTGAGTAACTATCTGTAATTAAAAAGGTCCTTAACCCACACTTAAGTACTTTATGTATTTCCCTTAACTTGTCAAGTGACTTTTAGTAAAATAAAATTTTGTCTGACGTAAGCAGTGTGCATTACTAGATCTCACCAGGTCATTTTGTTTTGTTTTCTTAATAATTGAGTCATTATTAATGCAGGTCTTTCTCTCTATATAACTTATCATAAAGGCTTTGCCAGTTTGCTCTTGGTTCAGTCATACAGCAAATTATAACTGTTAAATGAACTGTTGGGTTTGATGGTTAGAGATCGAGAACAATGAACAATATTTACTTCCTTAAGACATACTACTTTTTTCTTAGGGACAGATTTGTTTCCCTACTGATATCATTGAATTTCATTGAATATATTTGTTTTTAAACATAATCTCTGTGTATAAGCCACTTTCGATTTCTGCCTGTAGGCGAGATAATTTATAACAATATTAACTTAATGTATTGCAGCTGGTTTGCTGGATATTTAGATAGACCCAAAGCAGAGGAATATTTAATAAATGAAAAAGTTGGGACATACCTTGTGCGGTGAGTTATCGTAATAACCATTTTTTTTTGTTCATTTTCACCAATAAGAAAACGGGGTCTGGAACCAACGTGTAAGGCCAAGACGTATTTATGTTTCTTGAGACTCACTACAGTCTGTGTGATCTCCACCATTATTTGTACTATCTAGGTATTGATTTCACTGGCCCACTTCTATCTGCTGACTGCGTATATTTTCTGTTGTACTTCTGACTTCTTATGTGAAGATACAGGACTCTAATGATAGTATATTACACAGGGGTGGATTTAGGCCATCTTCTGGGTCTTCCAGAAGACGGTCAGATTTTTTAGTTTACAATGACAGGTACTGGCAGCCAAAAGGGCAAAAATTTATGTCGTTGATTCAGTTATGTTTCGTCGATACACTGCCTTCCCATCGATTCAGTTCCAAGTTTAAACGACCCTATCATAAATTCAGCATCTATTTTCGTCAATTCAGTTGTCAGTTGTCAAACATTTCTTGTCAATGGTGTTTTAAAACCAATACTGTCACTATTTTCATCGATCGTGTAACTATTCTCGTCGATCGTCTAACTGTTCTAGTCGATCCTGTAACATCACTTCATCATTCATTGATCGATCGCCAGGGGGCACTAAGTATACATATATACTAGTACACAAGGACAAAAACATTACAGTGATTCTGAAAGCAAGTCAGAGATATTGAAGACAATTTACAGAATTAAGCCATATTACTAGAGACCTTTCACTAAATTAAACCAAGACTGATGTAAACGTTAACTAGAAGATGAACTCCCATGGGCCTGAGGCCTTCTGCTTTTACTTTCATGGGTGTTACCTGTTGTGCATAATTAAAATTTGATGTTCACTTTGCAGTTAAGCATAATGTATTATTGCATCAGAATTGACAGTATTCTATTTTGTGCATTATTATTTTCTGTTTTTTGTCTGTACATTTGATAGCTTTGCTGCCTTGTTTATGTATGACTTAATGTTTGTTTTTTTCAATAGATTTAGTGATACAGAACGAAAATCTGCTAGTTTTTGTGCTGTCCATTGTTGTTGCACAAAGATGCGTAGAGCACTTCATTATTGAGGTAAAGAAATCATTTTATCTTATTTTAGTTTTTGTAAATTCTGTATGATTTGGTGAGATGTAGTTTTATATTAACATTTTACTGTTCACAGATTTTTATGTTATACTGTATTAGTATTTTGGCTGGTAAACTAGTGAACCATGAAAGCAGCTAGAAAACATTTAAAATGTTAAAGATACACGTGAAGCAAGGGTAGATTCCCTGTAACACAAAAACTACTTCTACTAGTTTCCTATTGGACTCAAATTGAGTTGACATACAAAAAGCTTATTTAAAACTAAAGTTAACACTCAATCACCAAACAAATAGTTTTAAACTGCACATTCTTCAGATTTTTGGTTGTAAACTTGACCTTTTTAATTATCCCTATAGTTTGTTATAAATGACTATCATACACTGTATGAGAAGAATGAGATGGTACTGTTTGGTATTTCTTTAAGTTATGCTGTTTAAAGTTTAGTCAGTTTAACTGGCAAAGATTTGACTTTATAGGTATAACTTTAACAATTTTTAAAATCAATAAGTTCTAGACGATATTTACAGTACTAGTAAATGACATTTGTTCTCTTTCCACAACAGAGAACCAGTTTGAGGGGTCCTCCTCATGACCTTGAGCCCTGTTTTGGAGTCTTCAGACTTGGAGACATTGAAGACAGTTTTCCCAATCTGGTTGCGTTAATTCAGCACTTTGGAATGAATGAGATAACTTCGGAATATCCAGGAGTTACATGTGATCATATATGTCCAAATCTGCCTCTTAACATGATCATTGCACCTTACAAGAGGGCCACCCGTAAGGCTAAAAGATAGATACGTAAGAGTAAAATCTCATCAAGACAAGAATTGTATACAGAGTCAGAGAGCAGTATACAGCTAGCGCACAAATTGCTATTGTCAGGCATATCTCATTCTGACATCCCAGTGCTGCACCTTTGTGTATGTCCAGCACACATGCAGCAGTGAAAATATCACAATGTTTTAGTAAATATACTGGTAGTAATAATTTAACATTGTTTTGTTTAGTCTTGCCTTATAATTTTTAAACGCTTCTATGAAAAAAGTCAGATATGGTGCAGCACTTTTTGTTGTTCTTTTATTTTCATATATACTGGTATATACATATATATACATATTTTTTATGGAACTGAATTTTTTTCAGTCCTTCCAACCTCTGGGGTAGAGAAATCTGGAGATTTTCAGATTAAAAAAAATAGAGATTTGGTCAAAAGCTTTGAAATTACAATTGAGCATTCTTATTGTCAATAGAGACACATTTTAGCTTCCAGGTTATGAAAAAGGCACAATATTAAGACAGATTGGTGTAATGCAAGACTGTGACAATGAAATATTAAGTTCAATTCACACTTCCTTAATGAAAATTTTGCAGATGAATGCTTCCAAAGGCTCCATGGAATGTTTACTCAAACCCTTTGCTGGAGCCTGCCATGTTGTGTCTCACATCTGTAAGCAATATAATTATTTACACAGACTTTTGCTTGCAATTTTCTATGAGAAATAGTAAGCTATCTATGAGATCCAGGTTTAATCCTTGAGAGCTGGAAGGACTGTTTTTTTTATTAAATGTACAAGAGTATGAACAGTGGCAATCTCCATTATGATTTTTACACTATACCAATGGTGCAGTAAGCAGCTCAAAAATGTGTGCTTAAAAAAGTTTAAATTTTTATTTAAAATAATGCCCACCATGTTAAGGTTAAGTCAGTATAAGCATGTGAAAAAAAGCTCAGTGAGAATGCCTCAGTTATATTTTATAAATGTGGATTTATTGTGCCATGCACTTTTTATGTACAGAGACAGATGTGTCAGTACATATGGCCTTTACTTGTGTTTATCTTCATTGTCCTATCCGTATCACTGCACTTTTAGATGTAACAAGATAAGTGAAAAACTGTTTTACCTTTGGTCTTCAAACTTACATAACTGTTGAATATTAATAAAATATGGGTATAGTTGGAAGATCAGCCTGATCAAACCATTCCAAAAGTTTTTTTTTTGGGGGGGGGCTTTCTTCAGTATATATGCAAATATATCATTAGGTGGAAAGCTGGTTGACCTATTGTGTTCAAACTAAGCAGTGTTCAATATTACGGAATCACAAGTCAGGTTCAAAAATCAGCCTGATGGGATTACTCCTCTTCAAGTTTTTTTTTCTTTGTGAAATGTTCATTTTTCACATATTGCCATTTTCAAGGTGTGAATTTGCACTATTATGAGTCTGAAGACCTTTGCTAGTTACCTTAATTCTCTAAATATCTGTTACCTGCAGTGCACCTTTAAAAAATTGGTGGTGATTATGCTATAAAGCATAGTGTAATATTGCATCAAAATTAAAGAAAAACATATTTTGAGTACTGCTGCCATAGTGATCTTTTAGGAAAAGCTAGTCATTTATGTTTCTTAAACTTACAGAAAAGAAACATACAACTAAAATACAGCTTCAGTTGGAAAACCAGCCTGATTAGATTCTTTTTCTGGATGTTATATATTTTTTGGCAAATGTTCTTTTTTCACATACCTCTATTGGCATTTTCATTGTGGGACTCCCACAGGCATGAAGCTATATAGTAGCTACATTTTCTTTATGTCTATTTTTGTATAAGGTATAAATTTTTAAAAAAATTGTTGTGAATTATGTAGTTTATCAATAGGAAATATTGCTTCAAAATTGATAAAAAATATTTTGTGCACTGCCACCACAAACACTCTGTTTTATTATTTTGTGACTGACATAATGCTCAGATTGGAAAACTAGTTTGATAGGATTATTTTCTTGAATTTTTGCATTTTTTTAAAATTTATTTTCTCATTCTGGCATTTCATTTATGCTAGTGACATATATATTCTTAATATCTGTTACCTGTTGTGCATATTTGAATTTTGTCTTTATTTCCCTGTCAAGCATTATGTAATATTGCATCAAATTGACAAAAAAAACCTGTTGTGTGCTATTTGTTGTATCCAGCATATATTATACTATATGCAATACAGATAACATATTTCATTTGACCTTTTGTCTTCAATCTTATAGGACTAATGAATATGATTTAGATACAGGTCTAGTTTGAAAAACAGCCTGATCAGATTATTATTGTCATTATTTGTCTTGTTTCGTTTATATAATTATTTAATTTTGCAATTTTTGTGAAACTTTCACTTTTTTCATTCTGGCATTTTCGATGAGTGAAATTGAACTCTCATGGACTGAAGCCTTAATCTAGTTACATAGTATCTAATATCCATGTTACTTGTTTTGGATAATTAAAATTTGGTGCTGACTTTGCTATTTAGCATAATGTCTTATATCTATATTGCATCAAATTTTTCTTTTTGTCTGTACATTTAACAGCTTTGCTGTCTTGTTTTAAATTCCTGTAAAGAAATAGTTTTGCTTGTGAGATTATTTTGGTGGTTTTAGGCTTTTTTTAGTTAAAAAGTATAATAGTGTAGTAGGTACATGGTTTTAACATGTTTGTTGTTTTGTCATTTCCTTTATGTACAGTACTCTGGATTGTATGAAATCCACAGGTTATGAAAGTTAAATGTTTCAAAATTGAATATTTAACATGTGTTCATGGCAATTTCCATTATGATGTTACCAAAGATGTAGAGTAAGCAGATCTGACATTTAAGAGCTGATCTTAACCAAATGAAAATAGTACATGTATAATAACAGATTGATGACAACTTGGTGAGATTAAATTGAACAACTCATTAGAGGTAAATTATATATAAGTATACATGTATGATTTATTAACTTTATTTCTGCACTGTTGTGTCAATTTGATTTCACACATTTAAGAATCTATCCTTTGTAAGCAGCTTTTGTATTCTTATTTGTAATAAATTTAAGTTGAATCATTCTTATAATGTTTGAAAGGAAAAATTTTTGATAAATGCTGCTGTGCAGTACTTTATGGGCATCGTCATCACCATATAATCAAGTTTTGTTCATTTAAAAGTAAGTTTGGTTTGTGGAAATCCTTTCTCTGATCAGTTCTCAATTTAAGGGGCCGTTCAGACTGTTCAGATTGTATAAGATTGCACTATAGGCTTTTTTATCTTCTCCATGAGGAAATTGCATTGTGTCCTTGTTATGTCAAAACACTTGTAGCCGTACAGCGCTAGTGTCCCAAAGTTATATTAAAATAAGCAAGATCGATACTTAGAATTTAATAAGTTCCGAACGGGCCCATGAGAATGAAAATATGAGTAGACAACATCGTTAGAGTGTGCGTTTGTGTCGAACATTCCAAAGGTGGGAAAAAAAACCTATAATATTAGAAGACCAACGATATTTACATAAGAACCAATAAAAGGTAGTTAATCGAGGGGACTTTGAAAAGGCAACCGTTGACGGTCACGATGACCATTTCTACTGTACGCAGTATTCAGACAGGCTAAAATCTGTGAATGAAAAGAACTGGGATTATTTTTGAAATAGATGAAAAAGTGCACAATTCTAAAAAATAATTTTCAGAGAAATAAAAGAATCTAAAGTAGTAACGGGCCGATTTACAACAGGTAAAAAAGAATCCAGGGGAAAACGATGTTTGTAAACAACATAAAAATCTGAACAAAAAAGTTGAAAACGATAAAATGAAAGAATCTCATTCAGCATGAAGTTGTGGGAAAAGAAACTAGGGCCCGTAGTTCGAAAGCATCGCGTATGGCGAATAGTGATATCACAGAGAGGGCAGTACAATGTTTATATGTGACAAGCATGGGCGAATTTTGGAATCGAATCGGTCGCAATGCGCGATGCTTTCGAGTTGCGGGGCCCAGACAGGCTTTGCTTCTTACTAGACGGTCATAAGGTAGGTTTTAGAATATACTTCCCCTGTCTGGCACTTTGGGTTAACAAATGAATTGTCTGCCCTAGTAGAAAAGTCTCAAGAAAGAAAGATATCCTGATCTTGAATATGACGATGCTTGTGAACATACTAAACTTGAATTATTAAATGAAAGACGACACAATGTATGCAGAATGTTTATTAGGATATCAAATATACCGGATCATATATTACTTTATCTTTTACAAGCAAAACAGAATGACAAATATTCATTTCGGGAACCTGAGACATTCAAATGGCCTAAAATTAAACCCAAGCGACCAATGAGTGACTTTTTAACCTGTTCCAAAAAATGACTGATGATATTTTATTTCATCTTTGACCTTGCATTTTAGTTATTTAACTTTTTTAAAATGTCTTTTAACATTCTTTTTATTATTATTATTATTCATTAGTAACTTTATTCAACTATGATGCAAAGAATGTATTTATCCAACCCTCGGGTTGCAAATTAATTTAATAGTAATAATAAAACTTTCATGACTGACTTTTTGTATCCAGTTAATATCAAGTGTGCCCTCCCTGGCTTTGAATGATGGCTTCACATTGTCTCCTGCGACTTGCCACCAAATTCCGTAAATCTTGCATTGGGAGTTTTTTCCATTCCTCGATTACAGCCTGCTGGAGCTCTCTTATCCTACTGGAGGTTGTCTCTCATTAACTACTCTGTCAATTATATTCTAAGCATGTTCTAATACACTGAGTTCTGGTGTACAATGTGTATGTAGGGCCAATCCATATTGGGGATACCATGCTGTTGCAGCGCATCTTGCTTCATGGACGGGTGCATTGTCCTGCACTAAAGAAATGCCTCTGTCTGGATTTGCCTAAACATATGCGCCCCACATTCTCTACAGCTAGTATCGTTGACTAATGAAACCTTCCTTGAATGGCGTACAGTGGTAATTTTTCATCATGTGAGACACCACCCCAGACAAAACTTCCGGCACCCTTCACACGTGAGAGAACAAAATCGCTTGTAAATGGTTTGGACCTCTCTGGACTCTTAACTGACCATCTGCAAACATCAAATTAAATCTGCTCTGTATAAATTTTGCAGCAATAAAAAGCTTGGTTGCCGAGAAAATTAAGAAATAAGAAAGTGTTGCTTAACTTATGAGCATCAATGTATATTGAGAATGAGTGAATATGGGCCAATGCAATCATCAATTTATTTTTAACCCCCTTAACTCTCAAGATGAATGTGACCTTGGGTCACATCGACGTACTCCCTATTCTCCCTTTTCCCTGAAAATGCAGTTTATTAACGTGCGATACAATTCACAACCAAGAAGTATTTCAATGTCTTTGCAGTAGGCCTACTTGTATACATGTATACCGCCTCAAATGTTACCCAAGCAGAGCTCATCAGTATTTTTAGACTTGTCCCCCACCTCTACAGCAAAATTCTAGATCGACCATTGGAAAGACATGCAGTTTTGATGTTCAGATTGGCGTTCATTCAATCTCTACGCCTCAGCCTTCCTCTACCTGAGTTGACCAATCGCATGTCGGGAAGAGGGGGTCCGCCATATAGATAAACGTCCCAATAAAATATTCGCCCCGATAGATACGTCTCTATACATACACGTCTCAATAGATTTACGTCTCGTTAAATTTACGTTCCGATAGATCCACCGACAGATTCCTATAAACCCACGTATCTTTAGATCCAGGTACCGCTAGATCCATCTATCTCACATCGTAATCGGCTAAAAGGCCCATATCAACTTGCGTTCTGAAATTTAGAACACATTTTTATGCTCTTTTTTGTTTTGTTTTGTTTAGAACACATTTACATGTAAATTCAGAACACTTTTTACGTGTTCGAATGTTGCATTTTGAGAACGCTTTAAACAGTGTTCTGACGCTAGAACAGTAATTAAGCGTTGTGAAATATAGAACACACTTTTGTTCTTTTTATGTTCTTTCACTGAGTATTGTGTGAAAACGATCTAGTAGAATAATATATTGCTGACTGCGTACTGCCATTTTAAAGAAGTGCATTTTATGTACTGAGTAGTATACCAACCATTTCGAGNTGCATTGTCCTGCACTAAAGAAATGCTTCTGTCTGGATTTGCCTAAACATATGCGCCCCACATTCTCTACAGCTAGTATCGTTGACTAATGAAACCTTCCTTGAATGGCGTACAGTGGTAATTTTTCATCATGTGAGACACCACCCCAGACAAAACTTCCGGCACCCTTCACACGTGAGAGAACAAAATCGCTTGTAAATGGTTTGGACCTCTCTGGACTCTTAACTGACCATCTGCAAACATCAAATTAAATCTGCTCTGTATAAATTTTGCAGCAATAAAAAGCTTGGTTGCCGAGAAAATTAAGAAATAAGAAAGTGTTGCTTAACTTATGAGCATCAATGTATATTGAGAATGAGTGAATATGGGCCAATGCAATCATCAATTTATTTTTAACCCCCTTAACTCTCAAGATGAATGTGACCTTGGGTCACATCGACGTACTCCCTATTCTCCCTTTTCCCTGAAAATGCAGTTTATTAACGTGCGATACAATTCACAACCAAGAAGTATTTCAATGTCTTTGCAGTAGGCCTACTTGTATGTATACCGCCTCAAATGTTACCCAAGCAGAGCTCATCAGTATTTTTAGACTTGTCCCCCACCTCTACAGCAAAATTCTAGATCGACCATTGGAAAGACATGCAGTTTTGATGTTCATATTGGCGTTCATTCAATCTCTACGCCTCAGCCTTCCTCTACCTGAGTTGACCAATCGCATGTCGGGAAGAGCATATGTTGACGTTATTTTACCCAATCATTCATCTTCCTCTTTGAATATACATGAATACAATATATAGGTAAATCCGCATCAAAAACTGTTCTGTGTATGTACGAGAATTGTGCCGAAATCATGACGATTCATCATACTATACAGACGCGTATAGTAGACAGATGCGGGGGAACATATGCAGCGAATGTGGCAGACAGGTATGCTCATGTGAAAGTTGCTTAAATAGGGCCTATAGCGTAGACTAAAAAGATGTCATTTTTAGCGAATAATATTTCTATGCCACACCTTAAGTAAGACCGCGTTTAGAAAACCCCATCATACTAGCAGCATCGACCCAATTCTCCGGGGGATTCTCGCTAAAGTGCACTCAACTTGTCTGACGCGATCGAGTCTCCCCGTACAATGAAAAATAAAACGCTGCGAAGCAAAAAGAATTTAATAAAATAATATTGCAATATGCATTAAAAATCGTAGAGAGGTTGATGGTAGGAAATGGGAGGTCAGTTTCATCTTTGAAACTGTAAATTAAACAATAAAATTTTCAAGGAGCAGTAAACTGCAGTAATGAAGTGAGAAATAAGTTCTCTTTTGTATCTTTCGCTTCATTAACTGTCTTTGAAAGTGTCAAAAACAAAGGTTCATATCCAATCCTCAGTCAAGACAAGCTGTCAGATAATTTTGTTTTATTTTAACATTTGAATTTTTAAATTAAGTATCTGGAACTGGTGCCTGCTGTCAAGCAAGCAGCCTGGAGTGTGTCACCAAAATGTCAGAGCGCAGTGGAGACTGTCAGGGTGATCAAGTTTCTGTCAGCTGTGATGCTGGGTAATACCATCACAGGATGCAATGTCTACAATGACTTTGGTGGAACAGCTGGGACATACACAGGTAATAAATAACAGAAAGTAGATAACAAATTTCAATTTTTTAAGTTGACACCTTTGATTATAAAAAGGCGCGATAGTGTTTCTATTAAGTAGCCTTTACGCCTCTCAGGTGTTAATTGACGACGTAATACAATCAATAAAATCAGACATATGATTTATCAGGGCATTTTTCATTTTTTTCTTTAGCACCCTGGAGTGAAGATGGCCCTTGCCTGGCATTTAATGGCAGAAACCGGACCTCGCCTAACCAGGGTGTGAGAGCTGTGGTCACCTGTTGCAGATTTACAATGTGAAATTAATACCGATATCAAGAAATGAACATCTCATTTGGAGAGTCAGTTCGTCAAACATTAGGGCCTAAATGAAAAGTCTAAATGTTATCACCATTTCCTTCCCTATTCTCAAAGTAAACTCTATCAATATGAATTTTATAGTGAACTGTACAATGTAGTTTCTTTAGTTTTTTACCTTGACATGCTGTGTTAGGTTATAAGCTCTTCATTTTACATACCATTGGTTATTTATGCAAACTTTTGACAGAAATTTGAATAAGATTAAAACCGAGAAGACAATAAAATCAAGCCAACTATTACATGTACTGTAGGTAGGCTACGTGTGATATAACTACACACACCTGCATTGGGAAATGATTCATCAAATTAAAATGTGGAAACCAGCATTTAACATTTTTTATTTTATTAAAAGTAAGTGAGATTTATCACTCTTTGCTATGACTGAATATTGAGTCCTAGCAGAAAGCGATAAATCTGGCTTTTTAAAATCTTTTGGAAAACATGCCTTGCTACTACGGCACGAAGTAACGAGGGTTTCAGCTGTTTAAGTAACAGGAGGTTTAAAATAGCCCTTTTGGATAATAGTTATTGATGGTAACTAAAATTACACTGCGCGAAAGGATCCTTAAGAGGCACTACGAGATTTTTTTTACTGAAACATTTTTTTTTTTTTTTTGAGAATGCAGTTTTGTCATGCACATTCAACACCCAAACCTAACATGGAGGTGCATTTCACATGCTAAAGTGTAAAAATAAAATTGAATGAATTCAAATTTGTATTCAATTTTTTAAAACATCATTGATTGCTTTAACATCTAAAGGGTTCGGTGAACGGCGTGCATAAACGTCTGGAGTGACGAGAAAAAGGAAGTAAGCCTCGTTATGAATAAAGCTACAACCCCAGCCATGTGCAGCAGTGGTGTTCGCAAATGCAGAATTTTTTGAGGTTATATATATTCAGTTTTTGTTATTATTATCGGCAAGAAAAGCATTCATACAGACTCCTAGCACATAAAAACGTTTTATAAGTATGCTGTAGACGCAGGATCGAATCAAATTATTAGACTCACCAGCCAGGTTAGTCAAATCTGACATTACAGGTTAAGATTTCTAGATTATTCTCGGGAGTACAGCGACCCAGAGTAAAGTCAGTTTCTAGACTATTCTACTGAGGCTATTTGTATCCGTAGTGTCTTATGTTTGAGCATGTGTAATATGTATTTACATATTTCAAAGGGGGTAAGCCGTCAGTTTAGAAGGAACGCGTGTAGAAGCAGTATTTCTGTTCAGTATCATATGTTGACGTTGCAGTAATCGAGTTTAGCTGCAGGAGAGGGACCAGGTGATTTGATTGCTGAGTAGTAGATCTTGATAGCTGAGTAGTTCTTTATTTTATTACAAGTACCCAGTATTGTTTGACAGAGAAAATTCGTTGAAAAGTGGTTTTTAAAAATCTAATTGGGTTGTATAAATATTACAGATGCGACTGTGTGTCAATGATGGTGGGGTAATGGTCCTCAACAGTGCAGTTTTCAGAGTGACATGGCTTGGTACGGAAAGGATGCAATTGTTGCAACAACCAGCAATGCGTACAGTGGTACATGGCAGCCTGGTGACCAGCCAACCCTGGCACAAACTGGGGCTAGCTCACAGGGACTGAAGTCATGGCCACAGTCCACAAGTGAGCAAAATATAGGTGCAATAGGAACGGGTTCCTGGATTGTACAACAACCTGCCCAGGGGAGTGCTGCCAATTTACTCGGAGTGCCTGCTCAAAATCCAAGATTTCCAGCACCAGTTTCTGGGTCTTGTGCCTCTATGAGTACCCCACCAATTATGAACACTGATCAATTATCCATTAGTTCTTCGCTGATGGCTGTTCCTCCAGTGCAAAGTAATGACATGTTAAAATTTCCACAACCCAATATATCATGCAACACAGGGGTGCCATTAGCACCTGGAGGTGGATTTGAAAAAACTCTGACACCCCCGTCCAATATTTACATGTCAGAGACTTCTGGTGGCAGAATAGTGGACTGGCAGCATAGTATTCCCAATGTTATGCCGTGGGCAGCTAGAGCACCCTCTTCATTGAGTTATGTCAATATTGATTGTGAAAGGTAAGTGAGCTGAAATACAAGAAAAATGGTGAGTGTAACTTAAGTCAAACTTGAAATGAAATTCTCTTTTGACTCATTTTCTAGATCGATTCTTTTTTGCAAAGTTACAAGAGCATATTCATTTGTTTGTGATTTGATGGTATGTGACTTAAGAAGTTGTGAAATGTTATGATATGACTTATAATGTATTACTATTACATAATTTATTGCTTTTTTGATTAAATTAATGTTGATAAATTTGTTGTATACATTGCAGCAGCAGTCTTGGAGGACGGCAGTTACAGAAGAAACGCAAGGCTGATGATATGGAGTAAGTTCCTATTGAAGAATAGAAAAAAAGTGTGTCATTTGTATCCAAAAGGAGCAGCATATTTTGTTGTTCTTGTTATTGAAATTATGATTGAAAATGTTATTAATCAGTTTATCTTAATTTTAGACATTAAGGCAAATTAAAAGACCTAGGCAGAATACCCAATGTGTAAATACATGTTTTTCCAAACAAAACATGCAATTTTATTCTTTACATCTCATATAACAGATTTCCGCAACCCCCAGGAAAAGAACAAGCTACTGAAGAAAAAATGACAGCCAGAATGAATGAGCTGACCCTGGATGCTTCCATTTCTCCTGCTGTCCAAGTATCAGAGACTACAATTATGGAGTCAAGGTACATGTATAAATATACTTCTTTGTATGGCAATCCATGCAAGAAACAGAGAGATAATAGTGAGAATTTTGTGAGAAGCATCCATTTTGTTACAGAAGCGCCAAGTCCCCCCCCCCCCCTTTCCTCATTTATCTTCTCCTTTTACGCTCCTCTGTCTTGTATTTTCACCTTTCCTCATCTTGATGGGGCACATGCCCTCAAGTAGCTCTTGACAAGTAAATGTATCATTTTTTAACAGCACAAGTGATGAAAAGGAAAAAGAAGAACAAGAAAAGATGAGAGTTGAAGTAAACATTTCACCAGAAGTGCTGAGGTCTATAGAAAGAGACAAACCATTGCTTCCAAGGAAGATTCTAGAGCAAATGTATGTATATTATTTCTTGTTAATTAACAGAATGACCTATTTACATCAGTAGAGCAGTGCCTGTTTAATCTAAATTGAGAATGATTTGTTTGCAAGCCTTTTTACCTTTGCTAAATTCATTTTGTCGTTTGTATATTGCCAGATACTTGTTATAATCAAACTGTTTTTAGTGTAGTTTTTGTGCCCTTTGTTGTTTTATAAGAATATTTTTTCTAGAATGGTGGCAGAGTTACCTCCTTCCATGGAAATGGTGCTGTGGCAGCCTCCAGGAGATTTCATCAAAAAAGTTGTGAGAAAGGACATACAGCACAGAAAAGCTGCAAACACAGGCAGGAGCACGTTTGCTGAAGGGACCTGCCCACTGGCATCTGAAGGGTAGGTAGACATTGACCTGCTTTGGCATCTGAAAATTTAAAGTGTTTTAGCAAATAAGAAAAAAATTAAAGCTATTTGCAACCAATAAAAATCTGTATTTGTGAAAAATCACCACTTGATTCAGACTTTAGTCTTATTACAGTATAAATTGCAGGCATTTTTAATCATTAATGCATTTTGTTTTAGGCTTCCTTGTGACTTTCACATGGCTGACATTTCTGTGCAATCAAAGGGTGCTGATATGTTAGATGCAGAGGAGATGGAGAATGACATGGATTTACAGTGAAGCTATGTGCTGTGAATTTGTGAAGTACTTCATAGTAGTCAGGTAGCGGACAGAGATTGGCATGGAATATATAGTTACATGATTAGAACTTTATCATGTGATGTCTATGAAGATTATGACAACTACAGACTTTTTGATTATATTCATTTTTTACGACAGAAATATGAAGAACAGAAGTAGCAAGATCAGCTAGAATTTCCTTAGGATGAAATATGATGTAAAGAACCTGATGTAAATGTCTATGGAGACATGGTCCCAATTATTTGACAAATAACACCAGATATGAAATCTTCGTCATTTTTATAAGCATTGGGGTACTAACTATTTGACAGTTTTTAAATGTAATTTTTTTAAAGCCATTATCAAATTACTTTTGAAGGTTTACTTTTTTACTGCTTGAAAACATTTGTTTTGGAAGATGTATTATGTATTAAGGACTTCCAAGTATGACTGAATAAAGGTACTACTAAAAATAATTGTTCCTGCTCCTGTAATCTACTATTTCCAGTTCTGATTAAATTGACAGGTTATGAAAACGAAAAAAAATGTTAAATGAGTCAAGCAGTCGTGTTTTAATTGAGCTTCATGGATGTTGAATTATTCCAATTCAACAACTTTTTCTGCTCCTGAATGTCATGCTTCGTTTCTTTGAAAACAAATTGTCAGGAAAAAGGTACAATATCTAGTAAACAGCAAAAGGTCTTGAACGTGACTGTCAATAACCTTTTCTTGTAAAGTTCCTCGTGTATCTGTTCCTTACTGAATCTAAGTAGGCTGAACCTTTGTGAAGCATTTTTGAATGCTTTTGCATAGACAACTACATGATTTTATACAGCTTTATGTTTATTAGATTCTTTGTGAAGCAGAACTTTAACCATTTTGTTTTCTAGTTCAGTTGTTGCATTTTATAGTTTAATCTGAAATCTTTCAATTATTGACCCCCCCCCTCTTTCCATACAACAAGACTCCGCTGAAAATGGGTTGTCACATTGTCCCATTTTCAGGTATGTCAGACTGGCAGTTTAAGAGGTGGATTTGTCTCTCTGAACTTTAGTGTAACTATACATTGTCCTACATACCACAAATACAGCACTTGAACCTGAGAATCAACGTGCTAAAATTATTTTGGAAAAGTTGCAATTTATTTTCAATCCATACATGGTACCACATATGCATTATATAATGTAATAAATTTTGGGAATGCATACCTAAAGCACTCAATGCAGACTTTACATGATTAGATTACTGTGTTATATCACAGATTCATTAACTCCAATATCTACATGTTTGTTAAACCAAACTATTCGTAACAGCTAATTGTTTACAAATACTTAACAACACATTGCTTACACCAAAGTATAGATTTTGGGCATTTCAAATATGACAAGTTATGTTAATATACTAGCACTACCAATACCCTTCCATTTATTTTAAGTCTGAAGTGCACCAAAACTATACCCACCTAATTTGCGCATGTGCAGTTGTAACAATTGTCAAATCAACTAGAGTACTTATGGAAATTAACAACATGCGCAACTTTAACCCCAGTGTGCACACCCTATGATCCTCACTTAAATATCGTCAAAAGTGCATCCCCACCACTATGTATCTAGTTTGCACAAGCACTGTGCAAGTGCCTCAGGTTATTTACAAGTGAGCAAAGGTTCCAGTCTATTATCTACTCCATGCTTGTGTCAACCTATACTTTACCTCACAAATGTTTTGAGCAGTTGGAAAAAATTCGTTTTCAAATGCATCTTGAAAACAATAAATTACCAAATTTCTCAACACTGAAATGCATTAATTACAGCCATGGAGAAGAATTGACTTTTCATTATTTTTTTCCTGCAAAGATTAACAACAACCAGGACAGATTACTCTCAACCCAGGCAGGTAAACATAAATGCTCATTTGGGACACAAATTTTCCCCACAAATTACCCCCATGCATATTAATGTACAGCATACACAAGCTTGTCCACAGATAAATAATTGTTTGGCATTTCTTTGGGACAAGATGACTTAAAAATTTAAGCAGCAGTTTGAGAAAAGCCTACATTTCCTTAACCTGACAGACTGTCTGGAGGATGGCAATACGAGTATCCCTTTTCCCTCACACCACTGACCGCAGTAACAATATACATTTCATTTATATCTTTATGGCATATACAGGCCCATTGTTTTGACAATGTTTGTTCATCTCAGCAGTTGGAAGGACTGGGAGTAGTTTCTTTTCCTTTTAAAGTAGTGATAAACAAATGAAAAAACAAATTTCCATAGCTTATTCACGACAACTGGATTCTTATACATACCTCTATTAATTTCATTGAAATTTAAATTATAAGTAGATAGTGAATCATTCTTTCACTTTAAAAATGAGAAATGTCTCCAGCACCATTTTTTCAATATGTGATAAGTTGATTACCTCCTATGAAAAACCAATTCTATGTACTATAAAACCCAGTGGTTTTTCATATGGATGCATCAGGTATTTATCAGTTCAACATTACTGACTAAATAGGCCATTGTTTTAACATCTGATGCATTGTTGTGAATATACATCTATATACAATGGTCTTATAGATAGATATCTAAACATCTTCCCCAGTCTTGTTTTTCTTTGGCTTCCCAATATTCATGTGTATACATATGAATTAAATTTCCAGTCTGCTGATCTTTTGTCTTTTTGAACCAAGCAGGTTCATAGGGAACATACTCCCGACCTGAAAAATATGGAAACATATGTCAAAAATAGTGCACAAAATGTTTTGAAATGTATCAAAATTGATAATTATCATTCCTGCCTGTATCCATATGAACAGTTGAGAAGTTGTTATCATTTTACTTAATAAGCTTTTAACAGAAAATCATACATATGATTTTAATCAAGGTAACTGGCCAATTTCCAAAGACACCTGAAAGTGTGAGAATCAAAACTATTCTATTACCTTCTGAAGCAGCCTGCTCTGCCTCTGCTTCCCTTCTTTTCCTGGCCAGTCTTTGTTTTTCTTCTAATTTGAGTTTTTCCTTATTAGCACCGTCCCAATCTTGGTTTTCCATAGACCTCTGATCTGGCCTTAGTCTGCTGTCTGTTGGTGCCACGCCAGGCTCCATTTCATTTAGCTCAACAGCCAATTGTGTAAAGTTATACATCTTTTCATTGCCAGGGCTGCAAATAAGGTAAAATCTTTCCATTACAAAATTATAAAAGCTGTAAAAATATTGAATACTAAGTTCACTAAGCTCACTTTTTTAAAGATAAAATATCTACACATTTGATTACTTTGTCTTTCAGCGTTATCAATTTTACCACTAGATGGGCACTTACGGTATTGGATTTTTCTTCCACAGCACCTTTGAGGGACCCGATTCAAATACTGGTTTGCCCTTACTAGATGTTGTACAGCTTAAAACTTTGGCACCTTCAATCTTTTCATCCCACATTCCTGTTAGCACCCAGTTAGTCTGCCCATTCCTGTCTGCCACTACCCCTGTTACCTACAAGAGAAAGCAAGGAATAGTATGAATTTCTGAATATTAATCTACTGACAAGACCAAGTTATTTGAAGTAAAACATTTAGTCTCTGTTTTTAGACATTTTGTCAGACATCATTTGTCACACATTGCACAAATTAAAATTACACCTTAAAGCATTATTTATCTTCATAAGGCTGAGAGAAATAACACCACACAAAAGAGTATCAAAAACATTTTCTATCCAAGTAAACATTCAATAAACAGAAAGCATTCAACACGCAGATTTCTGTCTTGCTGTTGGACACATGATTTACATTCAGATGAAAACTTCTCAAAATAAAAACGATGTGTTTAAGCTTTATAATATTTTTTCCAAAGAATAAGCACTTACCTTTCTGGGAGTTTCTCTAGAAAAATAGCTATACTGAGAATACTTCAAATGACACAAGTCTCCATTAGTGTGGTTCACAATGTCCATCTCCCCATGGTTGTCTACCCAAAGCTTGCCCACTATGATATTGTGAACTGTGGTGGTCACTTTCCTCCACGTATAGTGATTTCCAGATTTATTAAATCTAAGATGAGCAATACCTGAGAAAAATAAATTAAGAAATATAATTTCTATCCTCCTCTGAATGTACTCCAACTTGACTGAAATGTGACCCCTTAAAGTAACATTTCTGAACTATGTTTAATATACTGAACATGACAATATGATGCCCTATCATCTTATAATCTAAATTCATGATACATTATGCAATATAGTATTCAAGTTTTCAGAACAATTAACCAAACCTCCAGGATACCCACTCCTTCCTAGATAAAATCAGCACTTTGATCACTAAATGCTCTTTACCTAATGGTGTGATGGCCAAGTATTTGCCTCTAAATTTGCTAGACATGGTAAACTCCTGCCACAAGGCCCAGTCTCTGCCCTCAGCATACATGGCTGCAGTAGGAGGATGATGGCTAACCTAGAGGCAATGTATACATTAGGTTATAAATTAAAGCAAAGTATCAAAATTATCAGTTAACTTACCATAAACTATAACCATTAGAATTACAGAATGTTTTTGGGTGTATTTTCGTTATTGCATCATTTTATGATAGAACCTTCAAAACAAAATTTGTCAATTCTCCATATTCCTTGTAAGCATTCAATGGAATTATCCTTAATTGGTTCCAATAATTGTGATCAACAACAAATGTATTAATTTTATCTAGCTTCAGAGTATTCAAGATTAAAAATTGTTGCGCAAAAACCAATCACCTGTTCACTAATGACTCTCCAACCATAGTCATCCCTTCGATCACATTCATAAGTTTCCCCCAGCAGTGGGTTGAATGGCTTGCCTGTTCTGAAGCTAGTGGTTGCATAGGCAGATATGGTGAAGGCTGCCACATAAGCCAGTTGTTCACACGAGTCTTCACATGCAGCTGCAGTATCCAAGATTTCACTGTACTCAAACTCTTCAGTTAATCTTTGCAGCATAGACAGGGGTTCACTGAAATTCACCTGCAAATAAACAAAATTTCACCAATTTGTTAGAAATTTATTTTACATTGCACCAACATTAACAGAACATAAATGATTTAACAATACATAGATTTTCAGTGTATGACAGATGGAAAATCTTACCAGAAATGCTTAAGATTTTAAGGTAAGAATGCAACTGCACAACTGTTACTTGGATTGAATCTGATCACAGAAAAAAATCTAGCTGTTGTGAATGAATGTTATAATTTTGATTTAAAAGAATTTTTGATACTAAAATAATAACTCTTTTGCCTTCAACGAAACTACACACTGTTCAAAGGACAACTTACTGGCATGGGAATCTTGGAGAGATCTCGGCCAATGCAGTTCTTCATAATGCCCCATAAGTTCAGAGTATGATTAGGTCGCTCTAAAATAGCACTTCGACGTTTCCTCAAAGAATTGGCACGGCGAGTTCGGACAGGTGTGCCTGGCTGACCCATTTTCTAATTAACAAAAGAAACATTTTATATAAAAGAAGTTTTTATAAAATATCAAAGTTTACTCTATATACATATTAGACTGACATTGGTAAAAGTCTTTGAAAGTAAAAAACCTGTTAATAAGCAGTGAACATTGAGAGAACTTTTAGTTCAAGGATAGAACTGCTAGCATTAGAGTCAATGAGCCATACGCTGTAATAATCTGTATGAGCAGGTGACAATAAAAGTACTATAAAACAATTCTCACAGTTTTGGACTGTTTTCTGGCAGTGGCAATCACCCTTGCTTCATTGTCACCCTCGGCATCAGATTCTGAGGAGTCGTAATCCTGCCTCTGGTAGCCAGCACCAAGACTGTCCAAACTAATCTGGCTGACATCACTGCCAACACGCCTGCAAGAAATAGAGACATGAGAAGTCAACCACCTGATAGTGTCAAGTGTCTGTAATATATGCACTGGGTGTAGTACATTTAATGTAGCAGACATTAAACTTTGCATGTAAAGATAGGGCTATTATAGTAGTGTGTTATTTCTAATTACATTCTAGTATGAGATAAGAATGACCTTTAAGAAAAGTGATTCCTGCTGACTAAATAAATAGATACAGCACTTGAGATGGTTAAGTTTTGAACCACATAAAAATGTTAATTTGGAAAAGGAACAGTTATCAAATTCAACGATGCCAGCATTTTAATTTGAACATGTAACAAGCAAGATTGTACAAATACAGGAGTCACAAACTATGTCCCATAGCTTTTCAGACAATGATATGACAAAGCTTACTGCATAGCTATACAGGTCAAAGTGAAACTTGGAAATGACGCAGAATAGGCACTACAGTGTATAAAATTGTGCAAATTGATGAAGATGTGGCAGAAAAGTATTGCTGACACGATAACTTTCCTGTATTTGATATCAAGGCTTACAACTGCGAAATGAATAGGTAGCATGACAACTCAAAACGGGAAGAGTTATAGCAACAAAGGAAGCAGATGTTGAATGAGGCTAAATGTGGAGTGCAGTATTACTGGGAAAAATCAACTAGAACAAATAATAGGTCTTGTAATGATGATCAAAAAATTCCTTTAAAATACTGCCAGCCAAACATGCCATAACATTCTCAAAAATCAACTCACACAGGTCGGTATATGCTGTCAACAAGCATTTCTTACATAATTCAAATGTTAGCAATTTGGTTATGCTGAACGATATGCATGTTATACAGATACTGCAATTCTCACAGCATGGTCTATCCTAACGTGCTTGAAAACAGTTGAACAATTGAAAGTTCTAACATAAATAGCAAGCAGTATGCCATTTCAAGAAACAACTTGTAGTGGAAAAGAAAGACAACTGGTGGAGGTCTTGGTAGGGAATTCAATATTCTTATTTTCAATTTCTCTCTAAGATGCTATGGGAGACATATGGAACAAACGTACCTCAGACCTCTGTAAAGCAAGGACAAACAGAAATTTAGTATAACAAAATTCTTTTGAAAAAGAATGTACCGATTCCTAGAAATATAGTTTTGAAAACAAAGGGGTGCAGATTGCACAGTTTCCACCATCTCTACCTTCATTTATCTTAAATAATAAACCATGGTATAATATTCATAATGGGGAAAAGAAAGTAAATGTGCTTACTCCAAATGGGATCCAAATATAAGGTGAAATTTTTTCAATCTTCCATCCATTTAAATATTCACAATCTCAGGAAATATTTATCTTGTGTTTGGAATAAGTCTTTTTTGATTAAATCTAACCCCAAAGTAAATAGTGTACACATCTGAAGAACCCTGACTTTAAATGTAAAGTTATTAATATGCTGGCAAAAGTTGCCTACTGCACAGAATTACAACTAGTAAAAAAGGTCTCATTCTTTTCTGTAGTTAAATTAAGTACACATACAGATAAATCTTGTGAGTATTAAAAAAAACTGAGAATTACACATATATCGCCTAATTCAAAAATTAAAGTAAACATATCAATGAAACCATGTACATGACAGTGTGGATTTTAGGGAGCAAAGCCATGCTTTGTAATCTTAGAAATAATAGCAAAATTAGTACAAATATACCGGGAAAATTGTATACTCACTTGTGCATTGATGGTTTGTGGGGAAGTGCAACTTGATATTCCGTATGTTGTATATCTAATGCATCAAAGAAATCATCTTCCTCTTCTTCACTTCCTTCTACTAAGAGAAAAACAATATAATGTAGAAAAACAGACAGAGAGACATACTGTTTCACCTATAACAGTCCTACTTAGAAGTGGTGATGTTTTAGTAATTTTATAGTTTCGTAACATTTTAAAGTTTCAATTACACTTCTTTAAAATTTCAATTTAATGCAGCTCTTGAAAAATGTTTTTAATGATCCTTAATATCTCTTTCAGAATCAATAATAGCAATTTTAGTTGTTCAATTGTAGTGTCAACTTTTTCAATGCAATCAAATACTATCATTATTTTATACAAGAGGATGGAATCACCTGTTACTCCAAATATTGTTACTTCATATGTTTCTCACAGGAAAACAAAGTATCAGTTTCATTTAAGGGTATTTTTTCATCCATGAAAGTAAAACAGCTCAAGTATATACCTTTGGGCTCTGTGTCGTTTGTGTCTATTTTGCTGTGGAGGTTTGCAGCAGCCAGAGATTTCCTGGCCTGCTTCTCTAAGTTCTGCTGCTGTTTGGCAATCTGCTCCACCATGTCCTCGAGACGAACCCTCTGCTCATGTTCATGCTGGAGCAGTCGTTGCCACCTTTTGCCTTGTGTCTGAGCTAAGTCCAAGAAGTCTGAACAAGCCTGAGAAAAGAAAATGTAGCAGTGGAACACCTAACACAACATCAGTCTATGCTCAACTGCACAGAAGGGAACACAAAATACTGTACCATGTATACCATACCTTCGAGTTTTATGGAACTAGACTTGGATATGTTACAAAGAAGCAGCTCATAAACATACATCCAATGTGTCTTACAAACCCACAGTACTGTAAGGTGTGGTACCCATTTAATACAATCATTGTGCTCACTGCTGCATATCTTTGTAATCTCTAAGCACGACTTTGCATTCCACATGTATATCTAACCCATTATCAAATCACTGCATATTATCACATAACATCACACAGCACATTTATAGCACATGTATCACTGCATCTCATAAGATCGTAATTCTCACCTATCACACCATTACTGTGGAGTTAATACCTACATTTATCATTGCACTTGACGTGATTCTGAAGAGAGTTGCTCTTTCGTTGACTGACTTTATCCTTGTTGCAGTGTCTGTTGAGTTGTCTAGTTGTTCTAGCTCACTCAGAGACTTCTGCAAGGCGGCACCATGTTTGACTATTAAATCATTGCACGTGTTCAGGTCCTCCAGCTTGGCACCCAGAGTTCGTAATGTATTCTGTAGTTCATCTTTATCTGGCTGGCTAATCAGATCTTCATCTTCTTCAGAATCTAAAAGAGAAATGCCAAGCTTTAAATCTCTATCCTGAATGTTAATCATGATCTGCAGGAAAGCCCATAAAAGAGCACCTTATTGAAATAATGAGTGGTCAACTGTACAGAAATATGCCCCGGTAATAATCTCACCAGCCACTTCTGAAAGATAAAAATTGGCCCAAGGTGGCTGATCTAACTAGCTTGATCTTATAACACTCTGTATTGCACCAGAGGACTATCACTTTGAACTATGAAAACACCGAAATGTAACTGGAAATGAGGTCACCATAGGATATTTAGTTTTTAGCAAATACCTTTTTTTTATTTACCAAAATTAAAAATATGCTGGTGAAAACAAATCAATAAATAATCCATATTTCTTAAGTTTAACATGTTTGGGAAAAATCTCTATATGCTAGGTTGAGCTGAGTGGCTGTCATAAGTGTCATTTTTTAGATATCTTTGTTATATATCAAGTTCTTCATATTTCATATCAGGGGATCATAACCCTGGCTTGTCTTCTTAACAAATTTTCCACCAACTGGTGAAGAAGACTATGATGAAAATAATAAAAAAAAACTGTCAAGTTGACTTGTTTTCCAGACACCTCATATCTTAAAACTGTAATTACTTCACCATTTCTAGGTGTGTTAATTCAATTCTATAATAGTGCAAACTGCCCTCTTATCAAAAATCAATCGTTTATATAGAAGATGGCAAAAAATTCAGTGCTTTCTGTGCAAACCCACAGCACTTAATCTTATACAAAAAATGCTCACTAGTTATATGTTTTAAATGACAAGACCTTGTGCAGCTACAGCATACAGTGACTTTTACATTAAAATACATAACTGTGCACACATATACCATATGACATGATTTCACATACATACCGTTACATATATCACAACATACCCAGCTATCACCCTGAAGCAGATGTGATAAAAGTCCAGATATATTGTGTCAAAAAAAATGCCTAGATATCAGGCGATAAGATGTTAACCTTAGAGCCACTGGACACTTGAAACCTACACACAATACATCATTTGTACTAAAGATTGTGCACTTTGAACATCAGTTTCCTTATCTCAACACAAGAGAGCAATACACATTTAGAAATCAATAGCAGTAGTTGGACATTTTCCACATTATGGCTCTCCATGAAAATCTAGCAATAATAAAATATTCCACATTTCTATTCCTTACAACTAATGTTGTCAATTTAATGGACGAGTGAGTCAGAGAAAAAATGAAGACATATGGCACCAACAACATTTTGGAGGATAAGCTGAAGTTGATTTCCATATGAAAATTCCTTTCTTTTTTTAAATCTCTTGTGCAAATGCATTTGTAACCAACAAAAGGTAATGGACAATAAATTCAATGAAGGAACTGCAGAATTACAGGCCCAAATACCTGACTTTACTGGTAACTATATTTTCATGCATCAGTCATACATATAGAGATGTATGTACACATAAGGACACTAACAATAGAACAAAGATCCTACTCTGCTGCACATTAAGGGTAAATAAAATCTGATAACCAGTAGAAAAACAGGCCTTTAAAAGTGTGCCCAAGTTTAATTCGGCATTATTGTAATTAAAACGTTAATGGCAATTTTTGTTCTCAGTAACACAATTTGCAAATGTATGAACTGATACAACAAACATGCAATAACAAACCTGGCCATAAAAAAACATTACTTGCAAGTAAATAAAGAATCTGAAATCTACAGTTTACCTAAAATTCTAATTAACAAGTAGAATTATCATGAATTCTGACTGAAGAGTTTACAACATAGCCCACATACTGACAAAAATATGCACATGGAATGCTTACCTGTTTTTTCTTTGTAAAAATTGAAAACAACATAATCTCCATCTTCAGATATGCCTACAAAATCCAAGTTCCATTTACATGAATGCCTTATAACATATTGTGGTGAAACAAAATGACTTCACTACAGAGAAAAATCACTCCTAATGCAATTTCACTTCAATCAATTGGATGTATCACTCCCTGCCCTTCACCTATAGGAACTGGACACACTGACAGACTGAGGAGAAAACTGAGGAAAGAGGTAGAGTATTGCACTGCTTTGTTGGTTTTACCAATAATCTACCCCAGCACAGTAGGTTGCCAACTCACATGATTCATAAGCATAGGTATAAAGATAGAACAGTGTGAGTCATTGTAACATGGAATGCTCTACATATAGTACCAGTAACAAATGCAACAGCAAAAGAGGTGAAAATAGCAAGGAAAGCAAGGGGAATCATAAGCAATAGCATTATCTAAAACCGCCTTCATTAAAACAATTTTACGCAGCACAGAACAGCTTTTAAGCATAACAACTGATCAACAATTTGCCCATCTAAAGTTAGCCTGCAAGGCAGATTCATTACATGATAAGATTCAGATCAATGATAAGATAGATATGCAGCTTATCTAACAAAATCAACAGGCAGCAAGTCAGATATCTGCAGCTAATGTCATACTCAAGCAGTCGCCTCTAGGACATCCCACGTTAAAATCGTGATTGCATATAGTCAATAAAATATAGAACCATTTGAACTAATGTAGTTTCTACTGCTTATGAATTAACAATTCCCCATACATCTCTACCAGGAATTGAAACCAGCTGTTCAGCTCCTAGAATCAATTCACTTCCAAAACAGTCACACTACTGCAATGCTGTTCATTGTGTTTGCGTTGATCCATCAAAGCGTCAGTAATTAAGTTCCTTTATGTCAAACCTTAAAGAACCAATGCATGCTTTTGTCATAAATGTTCCTCCTTCCTTTTTTTAAAAGCCTGTGCTTACATCTCAAAGATATACTACATCCTTTATAAATAATGAAATAACTATTCCTCAATTGGTTTGTAATGCAGACTGAAAATGCAGGCAAGTATTCATCCTTGTAAATGCAACTGGAAAAAATGCAGTCTTGAAATTTTTTCAAATCTTGGATAAATATGCATAATATTCCAGGATTAAAAATGTAAATTTATGTTTAATAGGCTGTTATGGTTCCGGGGGTAGCGCTTACACTCGCCAATTTAGCCAAATGCTAAAAGTGACATAAATTGGCTAAACAAAAAGGGCTTGATTTGACTTGTTTTAGTCAAATTATAACTATTTGGATAACAAATTGACAAAAAAGTGGTGATTTGGCTAAGCGAAAAAAATTGCTAGGGCTACCCCAGGGTTCTATTAGCTTTACATAACTGCAAACATTTCTCTTGTTCATTTCGTGACTTTATCACAAGGTAAAATTGCTTGTATAAATTAAAGCACTTCTCAACTCCTGCAGTGTGACCCTAGTGACTTGCAGTTCTGCCTTCTGTTCACAGAAACAAATTATCACAAATAAAACCAACCTCAACAAGTGGATGACATCACTGAGGTCAAATGTTATAATTCTAATGCATATAAAATGAGTATGTCAGACAGAAATCAGAACAAAAATCAATGGCATTATCTACTAGTACATCATCACCTTAATAATCATGCTTACCTTAGATAACTAGTGAGCAGAATTAAATGCTGGCTATTAACCTGTCCTAGCATGCCGTAAATTTTCCAAGTGCCAATACAATGTCAACAAGATATTGATAATCATCTGAATGTAATTGGAAGATGCAGAAAATAATGATCAGTGTAGCATATGGATTCCAAACACAGTCTGGGGGACAGTGGGCCCCCTGTTTACAAATTTTGAGTGCACAGAAACTTTCACCAAAACTGGTTGTGTATGGGCACAAACCTCTAAGAATACTAACTACACATACTGAATAAACAATATAGCTCTGTCGGGGTGTATGTTGAGTGACTGAGAAGCAAAAAAAGAGAAATATTTGTTTTATTACTTAAGATTGGCACTATAAACTAAATTCTAAGAGAGATTTGTAATGTTTTTGCACCTCAAAATGAGGGGCAATACTGTTGTCAATGTGTGAATGGTTCAGTAACACCTGATGATTGAAAATATATAAACAGAGAAGTAATTATGATAATAAATCATTTTATAATAATCAAGACTCTATATTTATGATATTTATAGTTATTATAACCTCCGCCAAGGAGGTTTTATTTTCACCCCTGTTTGTTTGTTTGTTTGTCATCAACATAACTCAAAAAGTTATGGATCGACTTTGATGAAATTTTCAGGAACTGTCAGAAATCAATAATCAAAAATCAAAAAACTAAATCATTATAGAAGAACTGTCAGAAGTGGGTCAAGGAACAGATTATTAGTTTTTGGTGGTGATCCGGATCAATAATCAATCAATAATCAAAAATCAAAAAACTAAATCATTATAGAATGAAAATTTAGGGGTGAAACGGCATTGGGTGGAGACTTTGCTGCCTTGGCAGAGGTCTGCACTCTCAGAGTGCTTTTCTAGTTGCTAAATATAATGTGTGTGTGTGTGTGTTATATATAGAAATTTTTCTCAGAATTCCTATATTGGACCTTATTATTACCATCAAAATTTAAGGGACACAATTTGCAGCCTAAGTGGAACCTTAAATCTCTATTTAGTGAAACATATGAAGGCACAAAAAATAAAGCACAGATCTTACTTTAAACACAATACATAAATTAATCAAGATTATTCACCAGGCAAATCTGTCATTCTGACCCCACAGTAATGAGAAAGGTATTATTCACCTGACTTATTGAATTGAAACTACAAAGCAATCATAAGAGCTCATGTGTCAGAACAAGAACTGGTCATAGGTTAAATTTTTAGAAAACAGATGATTTAATGACGTAACTTTGGGGGTAATGAAATAATTAAGACAATTTGATTAAAAACACAGCAGCTTAAAGAGGAATGTCAATAAAAAATAGTTAACTCCTGCTCTTTTCATTAATCCCTGAAATGACCAAAATCCACAGAGAAGGACTACAAGTGACTAAAAATTACCATTTTATACATTGTAGGCTACAGAAAAATGACATTCCCCTTTAATATAAAACAAGCACCAGACAAAATCCTTACTTTCAATAAAACATACACACCCTGAGCTATACAGGTTTTTAAAAAATTAATTAAAAAGATATACTTAAAATGCAACCCTATCTAATTTAAGCAAACTAAAACATCTTGATTGTATTCAAAGCAGTGACTCTTTATTGGTCACATCAACACATATGAGAGCAAGCTAAGTTATATAAAAAAACAAAACAATCAACTGATCAGGTGCAACTTTGATCAAAAATTTCTAAAAAATATACCAATTCATTCATTCCATCAACATACCAGATTCCATCATTCTTATCGCCTTTGCTTTGGCCAGTTCTAATGCTGTCACCCATTTCTGTCTCTCCACCTCAGAACTTGCTTTAAGGTGATATGTTTGAGTACCACCATTGGATATGACAAAACTACACGAGTCTTCTGTGTGGATGAAGGCATTGGCTAAATTTATGGTTCCTCTACATGTGTGGGCCATTTCCGCCTGATTCCTGCAAGATTAATAAGGTAGATGTTACCATTACATAACCATGAATTTTTCAAATCATACATATTTTGACATGTACAATGATTTCATGTAGAATCATAATCCACTTTGGCAGAAAAGTTCATTTCTTTTTCTTTCTTTATTCATTTATTTTTCTTTGTAATTCCTTCAAATAAGTAGGAAGTGTATTTGAAACTTTGTTGATAAGAATTCAAGACTAGTGACACATTTTATAACTTCAGGGAGGATGTCATAGATATTACATGTAAGAGATTAAAAAAATCCTTTGTGTGCACATGCATACATGTATCAAAGGTAAGCAACTTCGCTAGTGCACTAAACTACATGACTTCTCTATATCCAACATTGACATTTTTTAACGTTACAGCTTTTTTCATTTAATATCATCCTAGAAAGATTAAAACAATCAAAATAACAAAACCGATGACAAATGTACCTTGCAATCTCAACCCTGTGCCACAAATGAAAAAAAAATTGGAAAATGGGTTAAAGCAAAGACTTATACCCCGTTCACACTACGCTCAGTTATCCGGATAAATTGCGAATTAGGTCACAATTCGAATAAATGCAGTAGTGTGAACGCAAGAGGATTTTTGTAAAGCGCATTTTCAAAATCCTGCAAGCGAGGTGGATTTCTAAGCGCGATCCGGATAACTTACCGGAATCGACACCTGTACAGATCTAACTGCGCATGTGTGCAGATAAGTGCGGGTATCTATGAACGCTTGTTTATTACTTTAGCGATTGCACCAAACGTATTTGGAGATCACCACTCACTACAACATGAGGAAACAAACTTATTTTGCCATCTTATACTTCTCAAGAATGCTAGAATGTCTTTAGAGTTGCATTTGTCGTCACACATTTTTGTTGGTATTTTAAGATTTCCTGTGCGGCACATGCGCGAGAGTTCAAAACAGGAAGTTAAACCTGAAATTTTCAACGTGTAATTCGGTTTCGCTTAGCGTGTGTGAACGCAATACCGAATCGAATTCCTCACGAAAAATTCGGATTATAGAAATGCGCATTTTTGCAACTGTAGTGTGAACGGGGTATTATAGCCAACTAAGATGCATTTCACAAAAATTCTCAATAGCCACCGATCCCATTTTTCCAGTCTTAAAATACCTTCCTGGGGCTAAATTCTGGTTATCCTGACACTGATATTATCATAGTGGTGACATCAGCAGTCCATTTCAGGTACTCAAGATATGAAAGACTATTTTACCAAAATCAAAATAAGGACTTCACTGAGTTGGTCCCTAAGTATACAGCTTAACACAAGCCTAAATCATATTTTGAGAAACAGGGGACTAGACAAAATAAGTACAATGAGAATAAGGATACAGACTAGTGACGTTGTATACCGGTAGATCTATGACTGTACTGTGGCTCTACATTTAATCAAGGTATTCCAAAAAAGTGCTTTGTCAGGTATAAATCACAAATACCGATTGCAATAAAACTTCCAACATGAGCTCTTAAACACGTGTGACAGACACTATCAGATACAAAAACCACATCGGATAACTAATCGTGAAGAAATTTAGATGAGTTGGCAGTATCCAGTGCGCCACCGCACATATGCACTCTGGTTGAGTCACACACCTGTAGTACGACAGCAAACCATTCTGGAGGACAAACCACCTCTTTTGGTAGCCCTTGATGTAGTTCGTCCATTTATACAGCCAACCTTTGTAAGAATCCGATGATGGCATAGTTTTAGAGTCTGTCATGTTACGAGGGGAAACTCCTCCCTCGCGAAAAGCAAAATGGCAACTAGGCCTGTTTACCTAGTTTTCATCGGATATCACAACGCCTAAATAATAAGCTCAACATGTACCTATCGGTAAGATTACTGTCGCCATTTTCAGAGTTAGCCTTGTTATATCGCAAATATGGTTGATGTGGAATAAATCTGTCCTAAATTACTTTTAAAATGTGGTCGTCTTTCCTACTTTATAGGTAGTTGAGTAAATCGCGTATTATTTTCAGAAATGTAAAGTGGTCCGTTTCCTGTGGAGCCAACATTTGAGATCTCTAGATGGTAAACAGATGATAATAATCATGTTTAGAAGGGGAATTCATCTGAAGGATTTTCAGGTTGAATTTAACTCCTGTAACTAAAGGCTGAAGGAGTGCTTGTTTTAAAAACACGCTATCGCCTTTTGAATTATGTCAAAATTTGTAATATTCTATCAGGCACTTGTTAATGATATCTTAAAGTTATTTATTCTAATACAAGTCACGATTATCAGTTATTTGCAGACTGTTGATTTAGCAATCACCTGCATCAGTCCGTGATGCTGCAGTTGCAACTTTAGCGATAGCTGAACCGTATATTTTTTGTATAAATATTTTCTAAAAATTATTCTAACTCTGTCTATACCACGGTGGTAGCAATACTTAGTATACATGTCACTGACACGGTGATATGTACAGATGTATCAGTTACCCTTTCCTCCATCCTCATGTCTTTGTCTTTGATCAGCACTCTTATTTACAGTTTCCAATATTTACTATATGCACTAATGTAGATTCATATCATAAACCATAAATAAGAGTGTTAGCACACTCAACATTGTGCTAAATTCAGTTATATGACCAAGTTACTTTGATCAATATCTGAGCTATTCAAATGAATAAGTTTAGCAATTTACTTAAGTATTTTTCTGTGCTCTTACAAAAGAACTTTCAACTCATTATATATGAATGGGCTGTAGAGCGCTAGTTGAATCTAAAGTGGAATTAATATTTTCAGATGGACAACTCTTAAATAGCTCTTTCTTCTTTATCATTAGATTTAAAGGAGTTCGTTATTTTGGATAGAAAGCAATGAGCACTCCACAAGAGAACCAAGCAAGAACTCTAAAGTTCACCTTGCTGAGTAAAAATGTGTTGTCCCTGGAAGAATCTGAATTATATGAATTAGCAAACCAAGCAGGAATATTAATAGATCCCGAAGTCTTTAAGTAAGTCTTAATTATATGTGTATTATGCATGAAATCTTTAATGAAATGTAAAATATGTGTAATGATGATAAATAATTTTATCAATATGTAATATTGAATTTTAAAAATCCAATTGAGATTCAGTGCTAAGTTATTCAACAAGGGCTTTTTTAGCATCATTCCTGTACGTAATCAAAATTTCATCATCTTCTAAAGGCTAATCAGTAAGAACAAAACTATGTGCTTCTTTAAGTTTACAAATATTTATTATATAATATTGCAAGTATTATATAAAATTGAATATTTTTTATTCAGAATTTTAGTGGAGTTATTACGAATGAATGTTGCCCCCACTGCCATAATACAAATGCTGAGGACCATGATTGGCAAGAAGGGCTCTAAGCACCATACAGGGAGTGGAGAGTCACAGCCTACTGCAAAGACTCACACTGGCAGAAACAGTAGGACTAAAGCAGGGCATAGATGACACATTGTTAAGACAGATTTAATTAGCAGGTCTGCAGCATTTAGTTAGGGCCCAGTGGCTGGGCCCATGTTAAATGCAAATTAAAATTAAAGCAGGGCTGGTGGATTTTTGTAAATTTTATCAGATATTGGCCACTGTCTCTGCTTTGAGCCTAAATATTATCATACCCTGGTGGCCCAAAGAGTTAGCAGACTGAAAAAAGGTTTTGGCAAAGCAGGCCTATAGCCAGCAGTTTCAAAGTGGGGTGTGTGTGTCCTTTTGTAAAAAGTGGACCTTTTACCGTAAAGCCGTTGTGCACCACGAGATTAGTTACACGATCGACGAAAATAGTGACAGCATTGGTTTTAATACACCATAGATGAGAAATGTTTGACAGTTGAATTGACGAAAGTAGATGTTGAATTTATGACAGGATCGTTTAAACTTGAAACTGAATCGATGGGAAGGCAGTGAATCGACAAAAAACATGACTGAATCGACGACATGAATTTTTGCCCTTTTGGCCGCCCATACATTATAACCAGCAACCATTTTTCTAAGAGACCATTCCCAGACCTTATTGTACTAACTTTGGATCGAACTATCTCCGAGGGGATTCTTGCTTAATTTCAATTAACTTGGGCTGCTTATATGTCTGTCATGCCTGCTGAGGATGATGGGAGGTAACTTACTATTGTTTAGCAGCTTTAGTGGGTGTCCAGATGTCGAAGCCACTTGGGCTGAAAGCAATTTAATGAGGGACCCCATGGAGGTGGACCGATTCTGTTAGCAGCTTTAGTGGGCGTCCCAGACGTCTAAGCTGCTTGGGCTGAAAGCAATTTAACAAGGGACCCTGTGGAGATGCACTGATCCTGTTAGATCGATCTAGAGATGGGAACCCAGTCTAAGCTCCAATAAAAATAACGACATCAGGTATGCTCCAGAAAAAAAAATTATTAAGGGCTTAAATCATTTGTAAGGTGTAAGGTTTTATATAGCTGTGGATGGCAAAAATAAGCATTTGGGGGATTTTCAAACCCATGGAATGTACCTTAAACATCCATGTCAATTTTGAGAAATGTTTATTATGAAAGTCAAAACATTTTTAATAAAGAAAAAACAAAGGCACGCACCCCTTTGACATTCATAAAACTGCTTAATTCTTTCACAGTCTTTGCTGTGGTTAAATTTTGTTTCATGTTGTTGGGAGGAGGCATAGTATTCAGTACCTGGGAACTACATGTTTTTCTATTTCAGTTCATACCAGATAAATTCATCTGAGTACTGAAACAAAGACAATATTGTGCCAGGTCTTATCTGATTTAGGAAAGAAGATATTTCACCCAGTTGGACTTACACCGATTTATCTCGTTACAAAGTATAGCAAAATTGTGATTTTCAAGTTTAGACCACATTTTGGTTTAAAATTATGTTGTGAAACTGGCCCCAGGTCACACAGTGCAGGAATTATTAAATCTTTTTAGTGGGCAAAAATTATTAAACTTTCAGATACATAATTTAAAAATAAAATATATTTCTATATAGCATTTGGGTGCTTTTACCATGTGGAATAGAGATATAGTTAAACTTGCTTTTCACTTTTGTTGCTATTACTCAATAGGAATGTTGGAATTTTAAGACATTCTGACAGTATCTGTAAAATTCACAATTTCCCCTGTTGAAAATATCGAGTAATTATCGTAATCATTTTGTATACCTGGGGAAAGCATTGAACTGTGCTCATCTAATCTGCAAAAAGACTCATCATACCTTTATATTGTGTACTTTGTAAATTTATGCTTTTGGCCATTCAATTGAGGTTTGTTACCATCAAATTTCATTACAATGTTAACTTATGACCCCATTCCCACAGATTTTAGATCGATCTATCCCTGTGGGGAGTCTCACTAGATTACTGTCAGCTTAGCCGGCTTAAGTGTCTGTCCCGCCTACTAAAAGCTGTAAGGGGATAATTAACTGTCATGCGCACTCGGCTGAATGCAATTTAGCGTGAACCTCCAGGGAGTTAGGTGGATCCAGATGGATCGATCTAAATCTCTTGGAATGCACTCTAAGATTAATAAAAGCCTGAAGGAAAACTAACCTGACAAAATACAATAGCTGGCTGTTAGATAAACGATGCCAAATAGGTCACTTAGCAGGGATCTGTAGAGATTTGACTAGAATGTGGCAATTTGTGTTTAGAAATGAATGACATTTATAAAAACTCGTCAAATACAAGTAACATGATATGACAGTTTGAGCTCTCCTTTATCAGTTGAGAAGAAATAAGACATAGTTTTTAAAAGGATTGGTCAAAAAGGTTAAGTGGTCAGATATATTATCCAAAACATTTTGTTTAAACAACATGGCTTGTGGAAACNAAAAGAACATACTATTTAACTGAAATTTAGGCAAGGCACATCCTTAATTTAGCCTTCTGCAGTTTATATGCACTTAAGCTAATGGTCTCCAAGTATGCAGTTTAAAATTAATGAACACAAGGTCTAAGAGCACCAACCATGAGCACTGGGAAGCATGTTGAATAAAATCTTGACAGCATACGTAATATCTAACAAAAAATTAACACAAATGCACACATTCCAATTCTGCTTAAACATCTTCACTTTGCTCTAACAACTCCATTTTAAACCATGTCCTCACTCCTCAAATTTTAAGTACAATTAAATATATTAATAAATATAAGATCCCCTTTATTACTTCTGCTACAGACACTTCGTGAGGTGTATGACTTTATATCCCATGCAGGACAAAATTATTTCATGGCAAATAGAAATCCTGTAAATTCATTTATTAGTTAAAATTCATCCTTTTAAATATAATATAGTAACTACCATTTTACCATATTCCCCTTTTTACAAAGTTTTCAGCAACATCTAGGAGAAAAAGCTAAGTTGTATAAAATAAATTCTTTAAAATTCATCCTTGATTTTATTTAAAAATACCTCCAACAACTGATCCACACACTGAAAGATACCCTCAGAAGATCCCCTGCCAAAATTTTGTTTACAACTGATTTACAGCTTCAAAAACTTATCAGAATGTATCAGTGCATGGCTCAAGAAGTGGGATCTGTTGTCACTTAACCAGAGTGGCAAATATACACTGATGGAATTCTGCTTGAGCTATCAATTCATGAAATTTGGTAAATTTGAAAACCACATTATTCTTCAGTCACATAATTTGCATGAAAAAAAAAAAAAATTAAGTTAAACAACAAAGCCATGTCTCTTTACATAGTTCGTACCAGATAAAAATAAACGTCATAAAAAATTGCTCCCCTACCTTGAACCCCCTCCCCAATCTCATAAGACGTAACTTAGCAACTTTCTAGACCCTCTTTTACACGTAAAAAGGAGCAAACCCCCCAACTAATGAAAATTCCTATCCATAATGGTTGTGCACATACAGATTTTTGTAATTGCAATGTTCCCATATACCACATATCCAGTGAAATGCATATCATATTATCAGCTGTATCATTATGTGTGAATGCCTCCACTCCCCTTCTCCAATACATCAATTGCATCCTCGCAACTGGCACAGTGATAGTCATCAAGTTATTTTTCTCACCATCCAGATCTCTTTGACAAAGAAAATGAAGGCTAAGCCCATACAAATACCATTATTTGTTTCACACAGTACTTGTATAGAAGGTGATAGTTGCCCTTAATCTGAATGATCTTTGAGATTATACTTTTTCATTCGAGTCTAAGTTTAATCTCTTCAGCATTGCATCAATATTGTCAAGTACAGGAGCAAGAGTCCTTAAAAATTCATCTAAATCAGTCATGACCTGAAAGAGAAAATGCTTGATTTAAAACATCAGCTAAGCATCTTTACAGTTTAAGTTATCCATACTATGATTGCAATAAGAAATTTACAGGTCTATGCCACAAACAGAAATTTATTTTAAATAGCCTGGCATTTGTCTAATGTAATTACCATGTGTTTTCTTGTGAAGAACGAGAAACAGAGTTTGAAAAATGTATTATTCTGTTTATTCTGATTTCCACACTACCTGCTCTTCATTCATATCCTTGCCATAACAGAAGCCTGATTTAATTAAATCTTTTCTGTATGGAATTGCATGGCACATAACCTGCAAATATGTTTTCACAATTTTTAAAGCAAAATCTTTATTGTCTAGAGCACAGATTTACTATTGAAAAGCAAAGCAAAACTAAAATGAACAAACAGTAAAGTCTGTTTTTCCTTAAGATGTTTATTGATATTGTTTAAACCCAAATATAACTACGCAATAATCATTATCTACCTTGTCCCTCTTATAAACACTGCATTTAGTTTTTTTTTATTGTAAGTGTGTAAAAAATGAGATGCAATTACATACCGTAAACAATTTCATCACAAACCAGTTGTGATATCGTTTTAGTGTTTGTTCATATGCCTGTTTAAATATGGACACCATATTCTCAGACTTGGTGGGATCATCATGGACCAGTTTCAGCATGGTATATGTGTATTGAAGGGCCCTAAAATATACAAAAAATGTTCATCCTGCAGAGAAAAGCAAATACGGCTATTAAACAAGAAATCCACATATTTTGGGCTCTGGCTCAAGCTCTACTGAGACGTACAAATGCAGCATTTGGCATTAGGTACAGACCTTTACATCCAAATTGAAATTAATTCATCCATTCTTTCATTCATTCTTTCATTCATTCAGACACTGACTTTAGAAATGGGAAATCAACAACTGATAACTCTAAAGATCCAGTAATGTACAAAAACATTGTTTACTGGTCAGGAGAAGGAGAATTAACTAATTTACCTTTTTAACCACAACAAAGCTGTGGATGCTGATTCTTTAGCCTGTGTTGTTTTTGTTTGAATTTCTTGTTCCAACATGCCATAAAGTGTCCTAAATCTGTCTGGATTTTGTGCATATTTTTTCTCTAGTTTCTAAAAAAATTAATTACAATATCAGAACAACTTGTTCGCTATGCCAAAGAAACTCAATTCTTATTAAATTTCAATGTTTAAATTACTAACACAACAATTTTCCTTGAAATGAATCAATGTATCATAACAACTTACTATTACATTTCCTTCTATGTCCAATTTCACTGGTTTGAATGGTGTTCCCATTGCATCTGAAAAATTAAAAAGTTGTTTCAAATTTATCCAACTATGTGGCCACAATAAAACAGGACAATATATTTTCCTTTAGGCTTGTTTTTATTACTCAGTGTTGTAAAATGAAAATAACTTTGAATTATTCAGCTTGAAAAACTCTTAACTATCATACCAATTACTATACTCTGCCCATTCCTTTATTTTAATGAAGCTGATTGTTTGTGGTCATTTAATCAGTCCTTTTATCAATCTTTTTATTTGTTATAATTCATAAGCTGCAATAAATAGAACATCCACAGGCATCCTTTATGATAATTTTATAACCCTTACATTTTTCACGCCAAAATAAGATAAGTATATATATTTAGATTGTACTGTACTTTGTTATAAATGAGAGTATATAAAACCACATATATAATACATTCTTCTGATGAAAGTTGTACATATTGTTACCCTTTTACAGCGTAAATACCATTGGCATTGTTTAGTTTTCACTTGTGTGAATCCTCCAGAACCATTTGAATGACAGGAGGACCAGAAAAAAATGTAAATTAGCCCAACTGGTCCTGACCAGGTCCACTAATGTTTTCAATCCCTTCCCTGTGTTTGATCATTGCACAGATATTTAAAAGGAATGACTGAAAAACAACATTTTCTTTTCCATTTTAACACATTTATGTCAACAAAATTACATTTTCGTCAAAACCAATCTTAAACGGTATTTCTCTAAAATTAACGTCATACCATAAAATGATTTTTTCTCATCACCACGCAGGTAAGCAGCTGTCCATAATCACACAGTACACCTTCACAAAAATGCCACACACACACACCGATCACTCTGAGGATAAAACTTACCAAAAAATGGTAAGATCTGTCTAGCTGATGTTAGAAACGGTGCTGTTTCTACTAAACCATCATCTGGAATTTGAGGAAACGGCGGTTTAAAATTGCTGAAGAATGTCATTTCCCCTGAAGTTGTCTTTACCGGAAGGACAAATAGCAACTCCGCACCAAATTTATGTTGTCCGCACAGATGACCCCTTTTCAGTTTCTAAATTATTTTCCCATTATTATTATTTGTTATTATAATTACTATTATTTAAATTATTATTATCATACTACTATTATTTTTATTAATGTTGTTGTTGTTGAGGTGGTGGTGGTGGTGGTTGTGCTGCTGATGATGATGGATTCAACCCAAGAGTGGGGAATGAATGAAAGAATTTTCTCAAAAGTGCATTCATATTGTCTTCTAGTTATGGTTTTAAGGAATTATATTTGGTTTTACAATGCACTTTACAGTATCAAACTATATATATTACATCAACATTGACATAATGGGTTCAAGGTTCAGAAGATTTGTCCATATTAATGATGTACATGTACTGTAATTTGAGGGTAATGGGGTATGAAAAGCATTTTTAATGTATTGTCTATTCTACAATGATTAAGGGTTCAGGGGGAATTATATAGGTGAATAGCTACTCAGCTAATGTACTTCCATTCTTTCCAACATGAAATAAACTTCATTGTATTGTATTGTATAGGATATCATTAATAGCAAGGAATTAGGTATCAAAGGTTGATAACTCCAAGAGCAAACAATGATATGCAACATGGTTACATGACATGTCTTATGTTAATTATAAGCCCCTTCTCTATCACAATAGACAACAAGACCATCATGCTGGTAAATAACAATTTGATTGAATTTTCTTCCACTGCACTTTTATTTTTAAATTACACTTTATGCTCTGTACAAATGGTTTGTACGCCATCAAAAGTTTGATTTTAAATCCTGTCACCTTAATTGTTGCATGTGAAACCCTCGTTTACAAAAGTTAATGTACATTTATTAGAAAGAAAAATTCTTTTTCCATTGAATTTAAGATAATGATTTCTTTAAAGTATTTTTCTACAGTATTCAAATATATGAAGAAATAAAACACAGGGAAATGGGGAATGTTGTCTTGAAATATACAAATGAAAAAAGCTTAACACAACAATTGAACATTCATGCCAAAGGGGCAAATGTTAAACCCAGCTCTTCGTGTACCTAAATACAAAATTGGTCATGACATTATGTGAATTTTTTTTCAATCTCGAGCTCTATATCTGCCAAAAAAAATCTGCATTTTATATGTACTTTGATACACAATAATTTCCATGAGCAACTAAAGCACTTTGTATAAGAAACTTCTACAACAATAAATCTGAATATGTTCACTACAACTCTACAATTTGACATATTTAAATTACCACTTAACAAATTAACTTGCACCAATGTCTTAGGTAACCCTGTTACTCCTTTACACATGTACATCAAGTTATATGGTGTGTGGCCAAAGGTAAAAAGTACTGATAGAGACGTCTAACTATACTGTTGTGACAGTTGGTTACTTTAGATGTATCAAGAAACCAACTGAGGTTAATTATAAAGTTAGTTTGCAGATAGGGAACAGAAAAATATAGTATAAATGAGTGGCATTTTAATCACGAAGCTTCTGATCTTCCTCTTTCAGTTTGCAAAGTCTCTTATGATAGGATTGAGCCATAGAGTTGATGATGGACAAAACAAAGTAGATGACCATTATAATCACCACTTTCTCAAAGATCCAGGACAACCAGCTTGGTTCCTAAAAAACAAAAAGAAAGAAAAAAAACACTTAACTGCAAATTTACTTCATAACTTTTAGTTTCAACCATACATTTAGCATAAGGTGATGTGATACTGTGATAAAATGTAGTTTTACACTGTTTGACTTGATAGTGTTTATTTACACACACAAAACAAACAAAAAAAAAAAAAACAATCCCAAAAACTGATATTTATCACCAACTTTTAATAAAATTTTCCCTTCATATACAATCAATCTGAAAAGAATGGCCATCTCATTGCAAAAAATATGTACAATACGTGCTCCTATTTTGTTACTTTTCACAAAAAACTGACTGCACATTGTTCCAATATTCTTTAAAACATTACCCCCTTTTAAAATGGTCACAATAAAAGCTTCCTATGCCAGCCTAAGGCACTTACACTTGCTGCTCCTACTCCTGGCTTATGATGGAGTTTGGTCTTCTGTTTTTCCAAATATTCAGAAAAGGGAGTTTGCAAAGATTTCCCATAATATGGAAGGGCACTAAAGCAGAAATGACACCTTTAAATCATTTATGTAATGAGTCTTTCTACCAAAGTGTGATACATGCAATACATGTACCAATGAGCTTATTTGTTTAAATCAGAGATATCATATTTATAACAAGTATGTTGTGGATGATGTGCTGCAGGTCTAGAGGATCCAGATTTAATATACTGAATGAGCAGAGTTAATTAAATTACTGTTTATTATCATCCTGTATCGATCGTTTTGTAACGTACCCAATGAGATGCACCAGTTGCTCTACATGGTGTTCACTGAACACAAATATTACAAACAATTTCTGAAAAGAGATAAATGCATAATATTGCTGAGGTCACCCTACAGATAATTTGTAAATTTATAAAATATAATCAACTTGATAGAGAACCATATAAAATTGTATTAAAAATCCTTCTGATTCAACAAAGCAAACTTTGCTATTTCTTTTTTTTTTTCTTTTTTTTTTCTACTTTATATATTGTTTTTGAATCTGAAGCAAACCATTAATGTTGCATAACAACAAAATGGGAAGCATGTTACCTGAATATGCATTTTAATCACTGCTTTGCCTAGTAGAGTTGCCCCAAAAAATGTCCAGAATGGAACCAAAAAGTGACCACAAGTGATTCCTGCTAAATCAAACAATGGGTTGGGAATCTGAAGCAAAAATGGAATTTCAATTGAAGAATGTGTCTGCTACATGCATATTATGAAAATTTTACCACCATAGTACATATCTTATACAAAAAATCACAGGAACATAAACACATGAAAGGGAATAACCTTTACAGTTACAAGGTTTTCCAATTCAATTTCCAATTGAAGCAATCATATTTTCAACATATCCCTAATCACAAAGATAGGTTAACAGGACTTTATTACTTACAGATGCACACAGCAGTATGCCAAGAAAACCAACTCTCTGAACAAGGTTGTGAACTCCAAGCTTTGCCTTCTCCAAGAAACTCTGAAAAAGCATTACATAAAATAAAAGTGTGGTTATTGATGACATATAACAATTGGTTAGAAGATAGTAAGATAATTAAAACAGGTAAGTTTACTTCATATAAATAACGAACCAAAAAATAAGGAAGTGTAAGTAATATTATTGAAGTATGAAATTATCAACTGATATTATGCTACGAAACTGCTTCAAATATAATAATACACATCAGAATACCATTTCCTGAGGATGTGTCTTCTTCTCCTGAATAAGCTCTTCTAATTCTTCAAGTTCATCTTCCAAGTTCTCATCTTCTAAGTCTTGTCCTGACAACCGTGCTGCTCTGGCCATAAAGTAGGGTGGCAATTCACCAAGGGCAGTCCCAGCACCCTTTGTCATCAAACAAAACATGGCTTAAGTAACATGACAATGCTTAGACATCACTCAAATGGAAAGTAATTTGAGTATTTTCTACAATAAATAAATATGTAAGCAATTTGGTTTCTTCTCCATGGCACATGTTGAAATTCCCCCTCAAACAAATACATGAATCTGGTGTTATGGTATTATTTATTGTATAAAAATGTCTTTGGAATAAGTTGCTGACTCACCCACATCATAGCTTCAAGTCTAACTTTGCTCATGATTGTCCACAAGGTCATTTTGGTTCCTACTTGGGAGGGGCAAATGATGCTAAACAAGTGGAGAACAAGGAGGGCAATTATAATTTACCGTGACTTGCATAAATAAAATTTTAAAAAGTTAAAATTGTTTTCTTAAAACAATTACTTCATTACTTTTTTGAATATTTTTTTTTTGAAACATTGGGTTTTATTTTAGGTTGTAAACAGTATCATCATGCATTTGGATACTTAAAATCCAATAATTATGTATCTTTAGTACACTTTAAATCAATCAATGAAAAATTAACATATGTGTGGCCAGTCAAAATAACAAATGATATCATACATGTAGTTTTACCCATACTTGTGTAAAATGATGAAAATCATTAATTCAAAAAGACAGCTTGCCTTGGACTCTGAAGCTCGCGGTATTTAAAGCACAATACAGAGTCAGTGCATTAGGTGTATTTTTAGTGATGCTTGTTGTATAGAATACATAAATATGCCATTATCATATATACCTAAATATGGTAATTGTAATTATCACCAACAGTTATATGGTGCATGTGAGCAAATAAAGTATACTTTGATTAATTTAAAACATATTTTGTGTCTTGATAATTAAATTTTAAAATGTTTTGTATCAGAGGTAAGGCTTACTCATCAGGATATGGTGGTTCTGGGAAATCTACAGACATGCATTCAAATGCAGCAAGAGTCACAGCAGCTATATGGGGACCCTATGAAAAAAAGGGCAAATATATCAGTTGGATTTTATGGATCAGAAAAAAATACTGCGAAAGAAAAAAATAAGGTGGGATGACCTTACCCTACAAAGTCAATACATATGTTAAACACACTATTTAATTAGAGAATGTAGAACCTCAAATCACTGATTATATTACAGGAATTATAATTTGCCATTTCAGATACATCACTTTCAATAAAACAAACACACAGAAGGAATGTTTACAAAAAACTAAAAACAACAACAATATACACCACAACTAAGTGGGATGAAAACAGCAGCTATTGAATGATGGAAGACATTCAGATCTACAGGTTATCAAAATACTCTCTTATTAGTTCTATTACATACATTAAATCATTTCCTTACCAAGTACAAGAGAAATGTATGTAGACCAGTGCCAAGGCCTACTGATGATAGGATTCCTAAACCAATCCAGTAAAGACACCAAAGAACTGTTTTCTTGGCTGAAGCAACATGCTGAAAAATTAAGCATACTATGGTTAGTGTACCCAACTGATATCATACAAATAATTCTTGTTTTTTGTTTTTTTGCATCAACACTCAAGATGTGGTGATCTACTTGATGTTTATGTTATCAAACCTGTGTAAACTACAGTTAAGGAGACATGCTACTTGAAACTCATACAAAGTAAATTGATTTAGTGATTCACTTTGATAAAACTAGTGCCCGAATTCAAGAATTGTGGAAAGGGTTTATGAACAGTTATAAAACTAAAACGTTTTTTAATTCCTCTTATGTATCAATTACCTTTTGATGAAACCCATTAACATTGTAAACAAGCACAAATCCAAGCAATACAAAGGTCATCAGCATTACAGTTCTCCAAGACTTCCATGTCCTGAAAAAAAAATTCAATAATAAATGATTCAAAAGAAAATTATATAAGCAGCTATACAGAGATGATTAAATTTTCAGGGTCAAAAGAAATAAAAATTAAATTATTACACAAAATATATCACAGTATTTAAAATATACATCAATTCAAGTGAGCAGAAGTATAACCAAGAAAAGATACCTTATACTATAGTCCTTGAAGAGTACGAATGTCTCTTGAATAAAGTACTGTAATGTAGTGTAAGGTTTTCTCCATAACACTATACGGGATCTTTCTTTTCTATCCTGCATTCTTTGCTTGTGTAATCTGTGTTCAGCATCATTCTGAGCCTTGCTCACAACTGATTCACCATTGAGTCCTACATCCGTTAATTGTTTGTCTTTTCGAAAAATTAACTCAGCAGATGTACTATTTTGAGTTTTGTCAGAGTCACTTAATACTTTAATCTGAAATAGGAAGCATAAATATCTACTATATAATGAGCGTAATTCACCAATACATTTTACTTAAAAACATACAGCATAATTTTATATAGAAATTTGAGCACTTTTGAAATAATACACATGAAGCTGATCAACTTTAACTTTTCACACCTATTAATATTATTTACTGAGTAATACTTTGCAAAGGTTTCTCATACCTCAAACTCCATGGCACTGAATTTCTGTTGACAGAATAATCAAAGTCCACTAATTTTGTCTCATAAATATTCATTACGATGCTTAGGTTTAAAGATAATGATGTCTATCATTTCTTTTTTATTTTGCTTTCTAATGAGTTTCAAAGTACGTTGTGTACAGTATCAGATGTGCACGTTTTATTATACATGTAAAAGTAATCAGTTAATTACTACAGTGAGAAATGAATTAATTTGAACAAATTTAAAATTTACAGTTATCTGTTCATCACAGCGCTAGTCCAAAGTGCATCCAACTGAAGTTGAGTGCAACAAACGCATTCAATGAGTACTATCTGAAAGTGATAAGAAAGCGGAAGTCGGTGGTTTGCTTTCTTACCAAGTCAGCCTTAAGGGGTTTGCCTTTCACTGAAATCCCTCTTCTTTTTAGTTCTTGTTTTAACTGAACAACCGTAAACGACTCGTAATCCGAACCAGGTTTCAAGCCGGTAGATGACACGTTATCAGTAACATCAGTCATGTCCTCAATCTATGATCATCAATGGAAAGTTTAATTAACAGTCACGATTGTTAACAGGATCGACGCTCTCTTCAAAAATTGAGAAAATTAACATGTGCGCAACGACCGTATTGATATTATCAGTCGATTGTTAAAACTTTAACAGCCGTGATCACTGTCTTGCGTGTCGTGGAGTTCAACCAGGATGTACAAGGGGTACATTTATACCAAAGAACATGTATACAACACAAATGTTTAGCTTGAACAAAATAATCTAATTTTGTTCCATTTGCTTATTATTGGTTGATTATGCATACATTCTTTGTTTCTCCTTGAAGAAATTGAATTGGATATACTAATACACTATTTATTTGTTGTTTTTTGTTTCCGTGTCTTAATCTTTCTTTTAGAGTAATTCTAAATACAGCCAGTAAAAACTAACACATGCAAAGAGTGCGGCACTACAGTTTGAAAATGGCTGCTTTGGGAGAAGAGCTGCCTAACTTGAAGATTTGTATAGACAACACTGACACTATCAGTGACGATGGGAATATAGAAATCGATGCTGACGTGGACACAGTAGAGAACCTTGAAGAAGGGGAGTTAGAGAATGATAAAGAAGATGTAGAAGTCAACGTTTCACTTGGAAACGTTGGTACTCAAGCTTTCGGGGCAAGTTTATTTATTGAAGTCATTGTTATGTTTGTGTCTATTATTTTGTTTATTTTATGTGGAATTAATCAGCTGTGGACCATATACAAGTCGGATTGTGTGTGTGCGTCTGTTACACTGCGTGCGTGCTATTGTGTTTGGGCATTCATCACTATTAAAAACGGAAGGATAAATGTATTAAATTTAATGACACAATTTTGTTAGCTCTTTTATTATTTAAGTTTTCCTTTCTCTATTACTTACTTATTTATTTTGTTATGATGACAGCGACATTGTTAATAGAATTCATCTGTCCTTTTTTAGGAGCCGAGGAAGTATGAGAATAAGGCAGGCCCTTTTGTAACAGGAATGGACATAACATCACCGGTTAGTGTATCTTCCAACTCAATGACGCTATATATTTTTAAGATAAGTTCTCCTGACACTGCTGTGCCCAAATCGGGCCTTTTGAACTTTTTTAGTTGGGAAATCATTATTTATTTTCTTTTTAATAAAGGCCTGGGTGTTCATTTTATTGATTTTGATTTTCATATATATTCATTTTATTATTATCATTTTTTTTAAATTTATGATAAATTTAACTTTTGTATGTACTCAACTTTTTTGAATAAATTTCATTACTTTATAACATGTTGCAGAAGCTGAAAACTATAAAATTCAAATAAATGAAGAAATATGAGAAGAGATAATTATGTACAACAAAATTATTTATATATATATTTTATGTTTTCATATTTTTCACCTAAGGAGTTTCAGCAGAAGAAAGTGGAAAGAGCAAAGAGGTTTGGAATTTCAGACACCCCTGCCCTTGAAAAGCTTGACCTTCAGGCATTGTATAAAAGGTAAATTAACAGTAAGGGATTATGGATTTCCAAGTTAAAATTTCGGATAAATTTTTATAAGTCCAACTGCAAGATAGTTATATCTTATTCAAAATATAAACCAAAAATGTGGAAATATTTGACAAAGAGAAAAAGTGATCATTACATATTTTCTAGAGTTTGATTATTTTTTTCATTTTGTCAACGGCGAGTGTAGTAGAGTGAATTCTGATAACTCTTTTCTTACTATGATATTGACTTATACAAATCTTCAAAAAAAGGATATTAAGATTAAATATGATATTGGTTGCTAAAAACTTCATTCATCTCATAAAAATGTTCTTTCACAGAAAGAGATATATTAAGATCAATACATTTTCCTCTTTGGTTTTTAGTTTAGGCTTAACTGAAGAATCCTTAACCAAAGGAGAACGAGGGATCAGACCAGATGCAGTTCACTTGAGAGGAGTAAATGAGCTCAATACACAAGACATTTTCAAGTATTTTCAACAGTATGGACCAGGGTTCATAGAATGGATCGATGATGCTTCCTGTAAGTTGGCCATAGTAACCTCATGATAACTAATCATGTGAATAGGAAATGTGATGCTCTAATATGCTTTGTTTTGCAATAACTCCTCTCTTTAACAAATATATGGTTGATGGTTTTTCTATTAAGGCACTTCATTAATAACTGCTGTTAATTTTTTTTTATGCGACGTACCACTGTACAAGCTGTTACTAAGCACCCTTGTCCTTAAAATCATTTCTGGATCTCAGTCTGGATATGCCTTTTGAATTATGATTTATAAATTGGTGAGATCTCTTGTTCATTAATGCAGGTGTTTCTTTTAAATAGAGTTTTTTGTATCTTTATGACTAATTTACTGTAGGCAATGTGGTATGGCAGGATCCAGTAACAGCAGCAAGAGCTATGGCCCATCTCAGCATTTGTTATGAAGACTTTCAAAAGTTGTATGAAATTCAAAACCCTAACAAAGAAGGGAAAATGCACAAGGTTGAATCAAAATTTGCTGAAAAAGGTATGTGTAGGCATTCGTTATCTTGTTTTTGTTTGAGCACCATTTCCTTAAAGTGAGCAGTAAAAGTTGTTTGAAGCAAGTTTTTTTTTTAATATACTCTGTTAAGGATAGTACTGAGTTCAATACATAACAAATGTGTATAGTTAAATTTTACTCACTGTCCTTTAAGTAACTTGTGATGATGACCTCTTTTAGAAAAAGAAGCACAGAAGATAATTGATGAAGATGAAGATGATAATCTTGATCTTGAAAGTAGTGATGAAGAGAATGACAAGGACAAAGAAGAAAAGATGGAAGTTGAGGTATTAAATATATGTAATGAGTTATGATTTGATAAAATGATATTCATATGAAATTAAAAAAATTGCAAAAAAGATTTTCAATTATTGTGTATTTAGAAGCATTATGAAGAACATTGTGCATTTTTTTAGACAGCAAATGAATCCACTCAAGATGAACAAGAAACCAAAGAAAATGAAGCACCGCTAGGAGAAAATGAATCAGAGAAAGAAGACAGCAGTAAATATGAAGATGCATTAAACAAAATGACTCCTGGAGAAAGGAAACGCCTTTTAGACAAATACCCACACTTCAAAAGCATTCGTCTTCCACCAGGAAAATGGAGGATAGGAGAATTGTGTCCCAAAGCCAAGTGTTTGTATTTGAGATATGCAACTAAAGGTGGGCATTAAATATCAAGTGTAACAGAAAACCCTTGTACAAGTTTTCAGTTTTTGGAAATTTAGTGCGGGTGTAACCTAGTGAACTATTTCACAATAACTAAAGGAACATTGTTATTGCAAAACTACATGATACGTTCATATTCTTACCATTCAGCTGACAAAAAGCTCCCAGGGGCTGAGAGAAAGAGCAAGTACTATGTGAAGTATGGCAATCCAAATTATGGTGGAGCAAGAGGTCTTCTCAGTAATTCCAGGTTCTGCTTTTATACTATTCATACAGATTTGTCAATATGTCATAGTTTTTACATACCCGACGTAAGCATGTTTTGCAGCATTCAGTCTGCACTGTGGTAAATACTGGTGTAAAATATGCCTATTTGTAAGGCTGCTGTCAATGATTTTGAAGTGGAATATCCAGGAATATATTATTGCTAATAGGATCATATAGGATCATATGGATTCCACTTTACTTATTTATTTTGGCGTATCTTTCTCTTACATATAAACTGGTTCTTTTTTTTCTACAGGAAACGCAAACTGCGAACAGAACAAAGAAGGGAGGAAATCAATGAAGTAAGGCAATCTCTACAAACATTGTCAAAAGGTGATAAACCACAGGAGAGCATGGAGGATGAAGCACTATTTGACATGTTGTTTGGTGATGGTGATGATATAAGAAAAATAGAGAGACCACACATGGATAGAAAAGGTGATCTTTACTCATCTTACTAGAAATATCAAGTTATTAAGATAGCAGACCTAGTATTATCAAAAGATGACAGAGCAGTGCATTGTTTTATAAGATTGCTATAGAACAGTGTGTTTCTTAAAAGCAGGTGCTACTATTCTATATTTCTCCTGCACTGTTTGACCTAAAGTGAGTTTGTAAGCACCAGATTAGAGTGAAATATAGTCCTATATCAGTGTTCCATATCATTCAGTGCATTAATTCAATTCACGTGTAGCAATACTGGAAAAGCACTCATTGTTACATTTTAAACTTAGGTTCATCACATGAAAATAATCTTTTCTTTTATTTTCATTAGATTTAGGATTAAAAAACAAAAGAGACATATGGGCAGGTGGTGGAGATGCTAGAGGCCAGGATGTTATCTCCTATACTCATAGAAAAACAATGGGTGAGGAAGGAGATGGGGATGGACAAGTCATAGAGGAAGAGGAAAATGTCAGTGATGAAGAACTTGAGAGATTACTTGCACCACCAAAGAAACGAAGCATGAGAATGTATGCAGACGACTTGGAAGAACAAATGTCAGCTAAAGAGTAAGTAGGATAGGAATTCTAGCAGAGTTTTCAATGATAACAAATGTCCAATTAACACATTTCAGAACTGTCCTGAAGTTTAGATCATTATAAATGAACTTAAGAAAATTTACTTTACAGTGAATTAGCTAAAAATCATGCATTTTGAGCACCTTCACCTGGTGCCAACGCTGTACTCAGTGGAATATACTTGTCCTCTCAAGCATTTTGCTTTATTTGCCAAGTTCTGTTTGGTACATATCAAGCTCAGTTTGATTTAAAATTCAGCATATACAGGTAATCATGGTATTTTCTGTTATCTTAGGCCTTTAGCTGCTGAATGGTATGTAATCCATTGTTCATTGAAGATTTTGTATGGCCAAAATGAATATTAAAGCTTTGTTGTGTAGTATAGTTAAATTTTTATTTGTTCCTCAGGAAGACTAGGTTGTCATCAAATATCACAGATGCACGGGACAGAATAAAGGCGAGAAAATCAGGGATTCAAAATACTGATAAAATAACAGACAGAATTGGGCTCAGAGACAGAATTGGTATCACGGATAGAATTGGCACTGCAGTTGGAGGAAGTGATCTGAGAAATAAACTAAAGAATAGACGACAAGATAAACATTTTATAGATTCTGAGCCTTCATTGACCATAGAGGTTTCTCAGGAGGATTATTTTGAGGATTATGAAGATGATGATTTTTGATTTTATTTCATATCTTGCCCCAATTTTTAAAGTAATGACAAATACACATAGCCATTCCTATACCTGGTAGTGGTAGATCGTGTTACACATCATTTTACTTAATGTATAAGTAAGTGGAACATTGTTTAAGGGTAAATTGCTTTTAAATTTAGTTGTAAAAGTAGTTTTTAAAATGGATATTTTAATGTGTCACAGTATATTCCAATTAGTTATGTCATGGATGTCCTTTGGGGCTCATGTGACTTCACAAGTAATGAATCGGATTCAAATTGCTTAAAATTTGTTTTGACATTGACACTTAAATCGGGAAATACTTTTATGGAATTTTTTAAAATATAATTTTTCATGCAATTTGTGGAAGAATGAGTGTTATGAAATGTGGGATCACAAAGAAACAAATATAACATCTGCTTTAGTTTTTTGTCTTTAATGAAAAGGCTACAGCTTTATGTATACTTGGTGTTAATACATTGGGTATGTACAGTGAGTTACACATTCATTGCTCTATTTGATGTATATGACATTGTTACAGACCAATTAAATTTCTGAAAGGACTTATTGATACATCATCATGTACCCAGGTTTTATTGCTATTATTGCCCATAATATACTGTATCCCAATAATATTTTGAAAAATGTGCAAATTGTTACTTTATGGTTATCAAAAACCTAGATCATGAACCATATTTCCAACATAAAGTTTTCCCTTGAGAGGGGCTGGTAAAGAAACCTTTTTCACAGTTCTCCAAATATATCCAGAGGAATATTTGTCTGAAAAGTGCATTAGGTATATAGACCCTACATCTTTAAACAAATCTGCATTGTCAATCAGCTCCTGTAAATGTACATGCCCTCTCTCCCTGGCCTTAGTTCGGCTGGTCTTCCCTTGCTTATCAATATCCTTGTCAATGTATGTAGCTTCCAGGATGAGCACTTTAACTTTCAGTAAGTCTGGATGAGCTAGTTTCTCAAATATCTCAAAGGTTGTATCTCCTATTATTAAATACAAGTACAGCGTTAAAAATCGTGTATGTAAAAACATTCTTGAGAAATTGCAAGGTGCATTTATCTTCACAGCATTCACCTTTATCTGCCAATTAAGTTTTAAAAGTGAGTATTAAATAACTGCATAATACCACTCAATCTTTAACTGCATAATAATGTTGTAATATGATAATAAAATACATGCAACTCTTGTTCTATAAACTGGTTAGGTACCTGTGAAAGCAATCTCTGGAACCAGTTCTTCATCCACTACTTCCACTCCTTGTTTTTTCAATGAGGCTATTTCTTGAGATTCCATACCTTGGAACTCTTCTTTTAACTTCTTGTGCTGCTTATAAATGATGTACCCCTGGCTTGTTACTGCATGGACTGTAGGGAACGGGACTGCTACATAAGCAGCAGGAAGCTAAAAAGAATTATCTGTGTAAATTCACACTTAAAGAACCTCATATTTCAATTATTTGATTCCATGGGGAATAATGATCATTATATTTTAAGCTTTAAGAAATGATACACGATGGAGGGGGGCATCCTTTTCTACATCATATCTTCTTTCCCTAAAAAATAAAAAGCCCTCAGGTATACCACTTTAATTACAAAATGTCATGCACATCTACTTTTTCAGGCTTGCTCTAAACTAAGACTAAACTGCTGTGTCTGCACACGTGTTGTTTGAAGTTACATGCGGTTAGTTTGATGCTGTGTATGTAAATTGGAACAAATACCATGTTCAACACCATGTGTGGGAGTTGGAAATTCTGAGGAATGTAAAAAAACTTGAAAAGTCTGTGATTTTCATGAAGACTGTCCCTTTAGTACAGGTTAATATGACCTGCTGTATTGAAGACACCTGTGTTCCTAAGCTGCACTTCTACTGGGGATGTAAATGTTTGGGAAATTACACTACATTATAATTCATAGTAATCCGAGTTGTCATTGCAGCTGTAATAAAACTCAGTGCAGGACACACCTGAGACTTGTAACTGAGCATTTTATGACAACAATTGAACATAGATTTTGGTTGTAGTAGAAAAGAGTGGGGCATGCAACTCAAACTGATTGTTCTAGGATCATAACTTGAAGAGAATTGCTGAATCAATGCAAGTTGGCCACAGGGCATTGGCTGTGTTAGGTGTGCATACAATGTCACAACCATTGTGTTCAATGCTGTTATATACATCAGCCTGATGCTTTAATTAGAAGAATCTGAGCGATGTGTACAAAGTTAATTGTATTTGAAGCTTTATTGCTGAGCCCATTTTATTTAATTTTTTCAAAGAAAAAATGTATTTTATCATCCTTTATAGAGACCACAAAAAACTTTCATAGTATTATTTTGTACTTTTTTCTATTCATTAACAGTTACACACACTATATGCCCGAACCTATAAAACAAATGGCACAAACAATGATTCTGTTAAGTTATGTTAGTAATAACTATACCTTACTGATGGATTGTTATTACCTGTATGGATTCTCCTGGGCCAACAGGCTTCAGGTAAGCATGAGTGGCTAGTTCTGCAGTTTCACTCTGTACTGCAGCTATCTCTAAAGATTGTTTGGTAGTTTGCACAAGGTGCTCTGGCATATAGTATGTAGATGGCTTAGCATGACTCATTAGTCTTTTACGTACATGTGAGGGGACACCTCCTATATGATCAATGTGTCCATGCCTTGAAAATGAGAAACCAAGTACATAATATAAAACAACAAACCACTGAATAAGATATTATACAAGACACTTCATGGTTAAAACTGCACAAATTAATGAAGTCCTGGAATGAACAATCAAATAATCTTATTTGTATTTCATACTGTCACTGAGTAAAAATTGAAATTGTAAATAGGAATGCTACACTGCTATTTACTGTAATTATACAAGCTTATAAAGTCTATAATTCCCACATAAAGTAAGCATTTCAGTGAATTAATATACAAAACTACGACTACTTTGTCCGTCCGAGTTTTTCTGTTGTTAACCCTCTACCATTTTTGTTACATTCAAAATGTAAAATGAGTAGATTTTGCGTTTACTAGTCCCATCATAATTAACGAATGTCCAAAAATAATGCAAACATACTGGGTATACTCAGTATTAGTAGTACTAGTCTGCTACTGAGATAAGTGTAGTGCTTACGATATGAAGACATGCTGACAACTAACAGCAGGTCTTGAGGCGTATCCCATGTCAAATGCCAGCTTCAAGTCATCTTTCCTGACCACAACCGAGGTCTCCAGTCCAGCCACTGACCAGCAGAAAACCTCCCAGTCTCCATTTAATCTCAAGAACTGTTGGCGGCGTCGACCTCGCACTGCCATTATACTTGAGCTCAGTTTTTCTAATAGCCTATAACTTACTTTGTATATTTTACCAGCATTGCACATAATAATTTAACATTTCATTCAGGTCTGAAAGAGTTGGTATACCGCAAAACTCATGGCATCGTGTTTAGACGTTATTGCCCTCCACGTTTGTTTAGATCGAACTTGTATATCATAAGGCTGCAACCGGAATGTGATTATAGATTGATTAGGCGCATTGAGGATCATTGCTGCTATCTCAGGCATAAATATGAATTTTATACATACTTTTTATTTATTAAGTTATCGTGCATCGAATACTAATAGCCATGTATATGGTTTAGTTTTACTCTTCAACGATATTGATTCTTGAATGTAGCACCAATCAAGAAGTGTAAAGGTCAAGGTCAAGATTCGTCTGCTTCCAAATATCCGTCAGCAGTATGGATCTTGAGCATAAGGTTCAGAAAACGCGCTTGTATACACCTTCGCTGGAAGAGGTAGCGCAAGGTAAGTGACAGAAGTAACAAAGAAATGATCATTAATGATAAATGCAGTTATTATCTCCATCATTAATTTATGTCTACAAATAAATTTGCCCATCTGTTTCTTATATTAGGTTTCAACGAAAAAGACTAATGCATTTGGTACATTATACGTAGTATCAGAAGCACGTTGCCTAGCAAACTGTCGAAATTCTCTGTCGTTGCTTTGATCGGGAGCAATGGCAAGGTGTTCGTAAGCTACATTATTGTCATTTTTATCAGTAATTAGTTATTAATTTTCAATCGATAGACTGGAGAAAGCTCGATTTAATTGGATTACTTTGATTTGAAATAAGTTAAAATGTGACTACAGTTGCAATGATTTTCAAAAAGACAACAGACTGCCTGTCACAGGTACTGGAAGGAACAGTGCAAGCCAGTAATATTCAGTTGATCAGTTTGATCAATCAGTTGGATATACCAGTACTTGTATACCAGTACTGTACTGTAGGTTAAAATGCAAGTACCAGTATACTATATATAAGGCCAATATGGATTAGGCAAATAAAATCAAATCAGGGTACAGTATGAATACTTGTCAATGGGAGCATGTTTTACATGATCTAGCTGATACAGCATTTCAGCTACATATAACTTCATTCATGTGTACTAGTAAATCCTCTAGCTATTATTGTCGATTGTTTACATTTTCATACTACAGTACTACATATAGTCTTGTTCCAATACTTTAATTAAAGTGTCCTGTACAGTATGTGTTTTAAAATGTCTCAGTAGTTTTTTGTCTTAATATCCTGCCATACTACTTACCTTATTTATTTAGACTTTAAAAAATTAATATAACCCCTCAATTAAAAGTGCCCAATGTCTTTATATTTCCTTCTGAAATGCCATGAAGACATCTAAATGAATCATGATACATTTAGAACTATTTTTGCAAAACATCAAAATCCTGGTGCAGGGTCTAGTCAAGCATTAGAATGATTTGTGAGTAGGAGAAAATTTATTTTTTTCTCCAAGATAATGAGATTTGATGCCAAAGTCCCATATAAAGGATACCTTAATTTAAACTTTTTGGTTTTGAAATCACTGCTTTGTGAAATTGTGTAAGTTGTAGGTAAATAATTCTGTTTAGGTAGAGTTTTGAGTTTTAAGATTGAAAAATAAAATAACAGGTGGAAACCATTACCTATATAGCTGACCTATTTCCTTTTGAATTAATGACCCAGATCTTTTACTGTAACTACACTAAAGGGAAAAGATAAAGACATGACCAGATTTCATTGCATTTTGATTGCTTTATTTACTGAAATAGTTCAAAGGTCATGTTTTGGCTGCCTTGGCAAATATTGGCCTTGCTAATTTTGAAGGGGGTCGTGTAAAATTTTCAAGGTGTGGTGAGAGTGGCAGGCAGAATAAAGATATTATAATATATTAAGCAAACAAATTTAAGATTGTACAGGTGCAGCATACTGTAAAATGAAATCTTTATCAAAATTTGCATGTGAAATAACCAGCTGCTATTTTACTCAAACCAGATCATCACAGAGCTTGTGATAAAACTAGAAGTCTTGGAGTTACTACACATCTGCTAAGGCCAAGGGTATGTTGTCATAGACATATATACATGCTAATATATAAATATATAACACTGATACATATGAATCTGCAGTACAACCCTGCCAACATCTAACCCTTGATTTAACAGCCTGTTCCCCTTATCAAACACACTGGTGAATGAGTGGTGACCAAGGATATTTGCCCTAAATTCAAATTTACCACTATCATGTACTGCTTGTAATTTTCCACTCAGCAATATAAAGTGTCATCTGTTTGGTATATTGGATACAATTTTTACAGTGACCAGTTAGAGCAACTTCTATCTACCGTATATGGTTATAAGTAGTTCTGCTATTGGAGGATGGTTACAACTTACTGCTTATTAAACTTAAAAAGGCTCTATAATGAGCACTCTCTCTTTCTTGTCCTTTTTCTTTTAATGCTTATAAACAGCGTATAATCACATTCTTATTAGTACATGTGCTTGTAAATAATGTACAGCTGTTAAATTGACATAGCCACTTTTAGCAGAGAGAGTCTATGATATTACTGTTTATGATAGACTTGATGAAAAGTTAATTTTTTTTATCTGTAACATCCACTATTTAATTACGCAAGTGGCATACCATACAAACAATACATATGCAATACATATATGTCAAAGAAGTAGCTTCAGCGTGATTATCTTGTAATTTTGTCCTAACTTTTCTGCAGTCCTTCAGGAGGGTTTGAGTAAAAATTACAGCACTGTGCAAGCATCGGTGACAGAATGTCCCGACCTTACAAAGAAACCTTTCATGCTGGCTGGAGAAGGTAACAGTTAAGGTTGCTTTATTAACAGATTAACTTTGTTAATTTTCAGACTTTTTTAAGGTTTTAGTTCTTATTTTATTTGAAGACTGCATAAATAATTGATTGGAAAAAAGAGTTTTGGTTTTAGAGTTGCCTCTGTGGCCTATGCAGTTTTATATGTATTTGTTTCTTCTATGGTTGAGAGTTGGATAATGTATTTTAAACTACATATTTTGGCCAGGTCTATGTGGCAATCCAAGACTTGCAGATATTGGTGGAGTACCAAACTTAATTCCTTTGGCAAAAAGGGAAAAGGTATTGATGTTGTTTTACCTAGTTTCTGCAGTTGAATTTTTCTAAAAATAAAAGCGAACAAAAAAGCAATATTACTTCATCATAACGTTGCAGTTTAATTAAAATTAAGATACCATTGGTTATTTTTTAACAATACAACAATGGGCATTAACAGAGAGCAGGTAATTTTGTCTACTAGAATTCAAATGTAATTAAAGTAATAGTTTCTTCAGACAGCATCTGACAACCTGAGTCTTCCAATATTTTGATGTTGTCAAGAAATGTAGAGACTACTATTACAACACCAGTACTTAAATATATATTTAGTTTTTTTTTTCTATTACAGATTTATAACTTTGAAAAGATAGCAGGCCAGTTAGACCTGTCAAATGCATTTATGATAGGTGCTGGGTGTGGGCCTGCCCATGTTATGAAAGTTAACACAGAGGTGAGAGGGCGTGAATCAAGATAGTTCACAGGATGTTTACAAGCAACTTTAGAGAACATTTCAGATATTTTTTACCCTCACATGAGACTTACTTATTTAATACCAGTGAATCTTTTAGTATTTTTATATGAATATTAGATGTTAAATATGTACCTAAGCTGGTATCAAAAATGTAAAATTATAAATATTTCTTATATATATAAGGCGTATACTAGTAAGCATATATATATATATTTGTTTGTGGTTAATTAGGTTCTCATGTAATTGTGAATTGTACCCATAAATATTTCAGATGATGCCCAATCTCAGTGTAGATGGTGGTGGTGATGGCAAAGTTAATAATCAAACCTATTTGGGCAGGTTAAATCCAGATGTAAGAGCCACACTTTATTTCAATACTCAGACTAATATCAATTTGTATAAAATTTAAAGTCTCTTCAAATGCATGTGGTTTTATAATAAAGTGGCATGTCATTCATTTGTCAATATCAAACTATGCAAACATGAATAACTGAAATTTAAAGAAGTATAAGATGAAGCTTTATGACTTTTAATAGAGAAATATTAGGCTGACTGAAACTTTTATCTAAAAATAAATTTGTTTACAGTTTGTATTTATTATTATTATTATTATTATTATTATTATTATTGTTTTTATTTATTTATTTATTTATTTTTTGATGATGGAAAATTCAGTGTAAATATTCATGGCCTTTGTATGGAAAGTATTGGAAATAGTCAAAATGTTTTAATAGGAATGCCCAACCCACAGTTAATCTACCTTACTTTAAAGTAATTTGATTGGCATAACATATTTTGTAAGCTGTTGAAAATTGAGAATGCAACAATTATTTTACTTTTTTTTTCCAGGAAAAGTCCTACGATCTGTTTGTATCGCCAACAACTGATTTCAATTTAATGGCCAATGTTTTCTGTTCTGAAGGAAAGCCAGGAAAGGTGAACTTTTTGTACTGTCATGTATTGCAAAAAACTCCCCTTATTTGTCACACCTGTAACATTTACTTTACACTGTACTTGCTACCACTTTGAAATCTGCTGTAAAATAATTTATATGTACTTTTTTTTTTGCAGTTCTTAAAATAACTGGAAAATATTTGTATATAAACAAATAGATACACATAAAAAGGTCTTTCATTTTCAGTGTAGAATTCATCATGAGTATGAATCAAGCCTTTTATGTATTGGTGTAATAATTTCCAGGTCATAGAAGTGAAGGTGCAGAAGAGAGTAGGGGAGGAGAATTTCATGTCATGCATGCGCAAAGTACTAGCAGCTCATTATGGGACAAAGCCAGTAGCCTTGGGTGGTGTCTTTTTGGTAGAGAAAGGGAAAGTCAAAATTCACATTATGGTGAGGAACATAAACTTTTTTCCTGGCTTGGCATCAAAAAGGTATATGTTTGATTGATTCTCTTAACTTTTAGAAATAACTAGTTAATTTGTGGGATGCAGATTATTCACAAGAACTTTTTTTCATACTTAAAGCGAGACTTTTCCAAGGTCCCCTTAAACTCTGATGAAGAGGTGAATAAATGGCTGACCTTCCATGAAGCTAGTGCCCCACTTGTGGTGATTGGAGAACTAATATCACACGATCCAGTGAGTTAAACACCTGTGGCTAAAATTGCTTTACAAGTTTAATCAGTGTCATTTTAAGGTTATCAAAATTACTTTTGTAAGACTGTTGTTCGATTATAGAGAGCAGCACACAGAACTGTACAGTTATAATATAAAGAGCACCTGTCTCTTACAGGACCTTGATCTTCGTGTTGAGCACTTCCACCTGTTCAGTGACCATGGAGAGGGAGGCCATTACCATACAGACACCACCCCTGATATAATAGAGTACAGGGCTTACCTGAATGTGGCCGAGTTCATGTACAGGATTGACAGACCCACAGAGACACATAATATTGGGAGGGATTAGAAAGGGAGGGGGGCATTTTTAGATGTGGTGAAATTGAATTGGTTAGAAGTTATTATTAATAGTACTGTATGTATTCATATGTAACTGATATGAAGTGCCTTAATATTTGGAGTTAAAATTGGTTATTCACATCTCGGTACAGTGGGAAATTGTGAATAAGAAATGAAAATTTGGTGCTACAGCTTCAGCCATTGTGAATAACGTTTTCAATGTTTTTTTTCTTTCATCAGGCATATTCTTGCAGCCTTAATTATAGTATTAAAAAGTAAGCGGGCAAATATAACAGCATCTTTAAATCATTCAATTAAAATTTAAGGATTTACTAGATAAAAAAAGGTAGTATATATTTAGTTCTTTATAGATGTAAGAATTAACATGCCTTCATAGGAAAATTATGCCACAGATTAATATTGAAAATTGTAATTTAAATTTTTTTATAATTTGTTTTTTCAGAGCATTCAGAATATAACATATCAAGTCATAAATTACACAATCATGTTTTACTGCAGGGATATGTTTTTATATATATATATGATGAAAACCTATCACTTGGTACAAGTAGAACATAGCATCCGCTTATGGATCATTTCTATGGTGTGCATCTCCTGAATGTCAGGTGAAACAGATTCTAGACTGTACTGTATCAGGAACTTATTAGAACAGGTTTAGGTTACAGAGCTTTAGTATCAAAATAACTTTTTTCTATTTCCATTTAAGTTTTATTTTATGGAATTTTCACTGCGTTGAAAATTGTTTCTACCGCGGTGAAAATTATTCACACTGCGGTGGAAATTAATTTTCACCACGGTGGGAATTAATTTTCACCACGGTGGAAAATGATTTACACGGCGATGGAAAATAATTTACACCGTGGTGGAAAATAATCAGTAATAATTCCTAGCCATCTCGGCCTGGGTAATGTATACATATGTAGGTAATATGAATCCAACATTTACCAGATGTCTGGGAAGGAAGTTGATAAAGACAAGCACATGCACATGCACGCGGTTTAACATGTCTATGTGCCAATCATGCTAGGAATGTGGAGGAAGCGGGTTGTATTCGAATAGAATAAAAACCACTGAAATGCTGCAATGTAGTACGTTGCTTTTCGCTTTATAATCACTTGCGTATTATTGGGGATATTGGTAGAAAGAAACCTCTCTGTAGTGATAACGAGATATTTATGATGTATTTTGGAAGCAGAATACATCTCTTGGACAAACACATAACACAAATATTTAAAAATACATTGTCCAAAAATAACCGTAAGTAATTAGTAATAACAATGGGATTCCCTTTGCAAAAAACTGCGAGCAGTTTAGCATTTAAGACTTAAACTATGTAGGTGGTAAATATAGATGGGAAACTTAAGTTAACGGCAGGGGCCCCATGAACAGATCCACCAACCTTGTGTGTATGTAACAGTAGCATGCACCTATTTATCACCCGGGCCGGGATGGCCAGGAAGTACAGCCGCGGTGAAAATTATTTTCCATCGCGGTGTAAATTATTTTTCACAGCGGTGTAAATTATTTTCCACTGCGGTGAAAATAATTTTCACCACGGTAGAAATAATTTTCACCGTGGTGAAAATTCCTTAAAATAAAACTAAATGAAAATAGAAAAAAGTTAATATGATACTTAGTATTAGGTTGATATCTTATGCATTCAAATATAGTCTTACTGCACAACACTGTAAATCACCTAACATGCACAAAGTGATGCTCGCACAATTGGAAGGAGATTCACCGCATAAAAATCATTTTTTTCTGCATAACTCATTATTTGGGTTGTTGCAAGAATATATTAGTCAGTGACTTTTATAATATGAGCTTTACATAATATTTCATATCACTTTTGTGGGTAAGTCTGAGCTGTTAAAAAGTGGGAGTCAGTCATGCATAACTGATTACCTTATTATCTCACCTTGTACTCTTATCAATCATTTTGATTACCTGATCAGTAAATGTGGAGATTATTTGGGTAGGAAAAAATAAATGTGACCATAGCTGACCAAATATTAGTTAACAATATTGTGTTTGTCATCTGTTTTTAAAGAATCTCTTATTAATCAGGATGGAGGACACATGAAGTATAAATGTTGATATTTTACCAGTTTGCCATTTTATTTTTGGTATACAAGGTTAGCTGGAAATGTGGCAATTCATTTTTCATACCCCATTCATTATTTTAAAGCTTAACTTACAAAACTTGTTTAACTCCAACTTTT